TTGGACAAAACAACGGATATGACAAAACTCAGACTTTGTTATTTATAGACAGATTTGGTTCATACTTTGACATAAACTGCATGTAGCACTCACCCATAATATTGAGGTATTCATATTTACCTATGACCTTTGAAGGACCATCACATTAGTAATAACAAAATGTTTGAGCATGGTCCCCGCTTGCTGTGTCTCTTGTTGAGGTCAAAATAAAAACGTTTTTATTCAGTTGAGCGATACAGAGCCATCATAGCCCTCTTGTTTATAGCTTAAAATCATTGTTGTTATTGTTAGTAAGTTTGAACTCTTTTTATATTTTAGCCACACAAATCCAGCGACTCCGATGTACAGGGCCAGCTTCTACGTGATATTTTTAAAGCAAATATTTCCTTGCGGTGTGAACTGAAATGATGAACTGTATCAATGCAATTCACAGATAAAAGTGTCTCAGTGAATTATCATGGAAGAAAAATAAAAACACTGTACTTAACTGGATTATGACTGAAAGTATAAAACAAAACTCTTCAAAAATGTGGCCAAGGTCATAAAATTATGGATTACAAGGTTAATTTTATTTGAAAATGATACTTAGTTCAAATATTTAGTTGGACATACCATGTTATGTTTTCAATTCAGACTTGACAGTAAGGTTCTTGTTTACCCTTAATGTTTATATATCAGTGAAAAGTGTTGTACATACAGATGCTTAACTAGGGACATATTTTCCTTTTTTGATATTGTAATGATCTAATTTGTGATTGAATGATAGATTAAGTTACAAAATGCATAGCAAATGTTTGATATTTAAGCTTCCTGGAGTAGTTTACAGATTCACATGCTGTTAGTTATCGGTTTCTCTACTTGTTATAGAGTTTGTAAGCGAACAGCATGAATCCTGATCAGACTGCGCGGATGCAAACCCATTATGTTGGTTTTGTCATGACGCAGCTCCTATAACTTTTAAACCATGAACATTTTTTATAAATAACTTGGCACAAGTGATCACCATAATTAGACTATGTGCAATAATGAGTGTAATAATTATGTTGGTTTCGCAAAGTTGGAGGTCACACTTACAGGTCAAAGTTAAAAGAAATGTTTGTGTCCCTCCATAACTTTTAAACCGCTAAACATTTTTTGAAATAATCAGGCATAAGTAATCACTATTTTGATTTAGCTGTCCTTCAGTCTGCCTTGTAGAAGTGAGAAGATTAGCTTCAATACAGTTTGTATAATGTACAAAATCACATGTGAATAGTACCATCTATAACCTTGTGAGAACAGGATTCTTTTGTTTGCAGCTCTAATTCTAACTACTGGATAGGTATGAACATAAATTTGCTCGTGTCAAAACATGTTTTGTTCTAATAAAATAGATTATAAGAAAAGTGTGTTGTTGTTTTTATATGCCTGAAAGAATGTTATACCCCTGGCATACGTCCGCCGTCTGTCCGTTAGCAATTTGGTTTTCGGAGCATAACTTAAGTTCCATTTGGCCCACAATATTCAAACTTCATAGGATGATTGTCCATATTGGGTAGAAGACCCCTATTGATTTTGGGGTCACAGGGTCAAGGTCACTATATCCTTAAAACTGAAAACAGTTTCTGAAGCATAACTTGAGATCAATTTGGCCCAAAGTGTTCAACATTCATAGGATGATTGTCCATATTGGATAGAAGACCCCTATTGATTTTGGGGTCAAAGGTCAAGGTCACTTTCTGTATCACCTTTCAACTGAAAACAGTTTCTGGAGCTTAAGTAAAGTTCCATTTGGCCCACAGTGTTCAAACTTCATAGTATGATTGTCCATACAGGGTAGAAGACCCCTATTGATTTTGGGGTCACAAGGTAAAAGACCAAGGTCACTATCACCTTAAAACTGAAAACAGATTCTGGAGCATAACTTAAATTCCATTTGGCCCACAATATTCAAACTTTATAGGATGATTGTTCATATTGGGTAGAAGACCCCTATTGATTTTGGGGTCACAAGGTCAAAGGTCAAGGTCATTATTACTTTAAAACTGAAAACAGTTTCCAGAACATAACTTAAATTCCATTTGGCCCACAGTGTTAAACTTCATAGGATGATTGTCTATATTAGGTAGAATTCCCTTATTGATTTTGGGGTCACAACGTCAAAGTTCAAGGTCACTATTACCTTAAAACTGAAAACAGTTTCCGGAGCATAAATTAAGTTCCATTTGGCCCACAATATTCACACTTCATTAGATGATTGCTATTTGAAGGAGGTAATACTTCATTTAATTCCCATGTCTTACAAATGCTTCGTCCTTACACAAAAAAACACTTTCTGGCCTAGCAGTGGTCTTGTTTCTATTTTTAACGTCGTGATTTTTAAGTCTATTCAGGTTAACAAACAAGTGGCACCAATGTGGATACATTTGTATTCCCTTACAATCTTTATTGTGACATTTGTTGGTATTTGTCTTGCAGTATCTTTTGTGAGATACAGAGGTATGGCACGTATATGTCAAAAACTGATAAAAGTTTGGGTTCAACGCCCGTTTTCAACAGTAATTTCAGCATAGTAACTGCTCCAGCTAGCGCCATACTAACAACTTGCCATCATGGCCTGGACTATCAAAACACATTTTGAGGTGCTTTAGTTGACAACCACCATACTGTAATTAATAGACCACATTGGTGGCTTAATGAGAAGGGAAGCATGAATCTGGAGGCGTGCTGCTTTAAGACCAACTCGATAAAAAGGCAACTTTTTAAAAGTCTCTTTAAATAGATTTGTGCCAGTTAATCCCCAAAATTAAGACACCACACATACCAATTTTGACTAGTCCCAGAATTGGTCTTCAAAGAGAGTTATCATTGTAGTTGGTCATTAATATAAATTAATTAAGGCTTAAAGTAAACATATGATTTCACTTCTTTTTAAACATTTCCCGCTGTTGAGTAACGAAAATCCTCAGTCTCTATAATATGGGATGTATTCCCAGTAAAATTGACGACTAGGCACGTAAATTGAATTTTCTGGACGAATTATTGGTACGATTAACCATTACTAGATGTCCTTTAAACGTTCATCTATTCCGACGAGAGACATGTGGGTACTAAAAAGTACCGTATATGTCGGTTTAAGAAAATGCGTTATTTTTCGGGTCTTAAAAAGAACATTCTGTAGTTTCCAATAGAATTTTAGTAATGAAATTAATTAATTTTGGACATTTATATAGAAACACATGTTTATAATGGGAGACTGTCCTAGTTGACGTGAGAGGACAGATAAACTTTTTCAAAAGTTTTAATGTTTATTTTAGAGGTTTAACCTCTCTCTGATGAAACTGTGTTAGTTACGAGTGTATACCCCATCAGGTCTTTGACGTGCACGCGTGTTGTGTGTGTGAGACATATTGAGGTAAGATCCCGTTAAATAACCTCTCTGTGATGGACCGGCATTAGTAGCGTGTGTATACCCCACCAGGTCTGTGTCATGCACAAGTGTTGTGTGTGTGACATACTGAGGTAACAACCCGTTAGATAACCTCTCTGTGATGGAACTGCGATAGTTGAGTGTGTGTGGACCTCACTTGGTAATCAACATGCACATGTGTTGTGTGTGGTGCAGGCCGAGGTAAGGGCCACAGTATGTATGCGATGTACGTATATTTAAAAAGTTGAGATACGTTTAAACAAAAGTGATTACATAAATACGGTTTAAAATTGTAGCCGAACTATGGTTTTAGAAGTAGAATACCTTTATTATAAAGGGTAGACCTCAGGATGTATGTACAGAATAAGATACCTCTCAATGTTGGGAAGACCGGTATGTGTGCGTGCGTGAGTGCGTGTGTGTGTGTGTGCTAAGATCAACACTAAAGAGTGACGTTTACAAAACATAGTTGTCAACAAAATCCAACCACAGTCACGGTCCAACTCACAGGTACCCAGCAGGGCCCCGACTCAACAGTAGGGAAGGTACTAAGAGCGGGGCATGGAAGAAGGCATACCAGTTTATGATTAAGTTTCATTACCAAATATTGTTTACAAATTACTAAATCCAACTAAATTTATCCATTTCCATTTAATACATCTGCAGAGAAAATCAATCGAAATTACTTGAGAAAACAAAAACAAAAAAATTAACCAAAAAAATCTACAATAAATTACATGCGGAAATTTGTTTACTTGAGCAATGGGTTTTATTCTTATAAATAGTAATGTTAATGGCCCCCTATTACCCTAAGTCCTGTCTTTATTTCATCGTGATCAAGTGTTTTACTCCCATCTTTATCAAACGCAGCAAAAAGGTCAAGCAGACGAAATCCCATCAGTTTACCAAACTCCATGATTACAAGTGTAGGATTTTCGTCCATCAAAGTAAGTTCATCTTCATCAGCACTTTTATCACGGCCTTGTACCTACAAACAAAACTGTACTTAATCCGTTTTATGCCTAAATGTCAAATTTTGAATATGAAGACATTTCTATCAAAGACAAGAAAACAATATGTGAGATCAACGACTGGGCTTGTTTGAGCCTGTTTTCAAAGCTGCCATGGCAAGTGTTGTAAGCGTACTCAATATACCTCTTCAGCACCGACAGCACTCATGTAATAAAATCATACCGGTTTAACTATCCAAAATGAGCAGAAAAGCTTAAAGTTTCAAATGAATGTTTGAAGTTAGGGTGCACCTATTCTACACTTTGCATTTATCTTTGTGAATATATGTAGCATTCAACAGGCAAAATTCTGAAAAAAAGGAGATCTAAACTAAAGTTTGAAAGTAGCAATAGCAAACTTGGTTTGACCGATTCTGTTCACGAGAGACAATGGACAGTACCCCATATCTCAGTGTGAACGGTTACTACCATCAAATAAATGAAAATTGCGAACTCTGTTTGATTAAGTATTGACGCAATTCACTCATCCTGTCATATTGAAATACAGGTGAAATATATATGTTCTTGTGGAAATAGAAAATAATTATGAAATAATATACCTGTCCATAAATGACTCTAACGTCTTTTATGGCTTTAACCTGGGCTAGGACATCAACAAATGACGGTTTCACTAATGTATCCTGGAATATGTAAGATTTAAATTACTTTACAAGTTTTGATCTTTTGCGGAGATAATCACTAAACCTTTCCATATCTGCTGTAATGGTTTATGAAAAAAGGATTAAAAATGTATACAGTTAACATGAAAAGGCAAACATAACACTTAAATTAACTTCGTGCCGTCTTATCAAGATGGTAACCGCGGTTCTCTATTAAGTAGGTACATGTATAATGTTTTAAATTTTCCCTGAATATAAATAATTGGTTTGCCCAGATTGAAAGTTTAAAATAAGTAAGTGGTAAGTGTTAACATTTCCAGGTAACTTGACTCTAAGCAGTTAGTAGAACACTAAAAGATCAAGCATTTTTCAATGGAAACGATTTAACTTTGTACAATATCTTTAATAAATGAGCCGCGTCACGCCAAAACCAACATAGTGCGTTTGCGACCAGCATGGACCCAGACCAGCCTGCGCATCCTCGCAGTCTGATCAGGATCCATGCTGTCCGTTTACCGACTCTATTACAAGTAGAGAAACTGATAGCGAACAGCATGGATCCTGATCAGACTGGGCGGATGCGCAGGTTGGTCTGGATCCATGCTGGTCGCAAACGCACTATGTTGGTTTTGTCGTGACGCGGCTCAAATTCATACACTTACACTTATATCCAACTCTCTTATTCCGGTTGTTTTGTTGTCTTTTAAGAACTGTATGAGCAACAAAGCGCCTTCAGGAGTTATAGGGTTTTTCCCTATCTGAAAATATTTGAACTTAGGACAATACAAGGTACTTACATTTTCATTCAATGAAATCACAGGATTTTTCTAATAAAGCATTTTATCACAAAGACACAGTTTTTACGCGTTTTAAGCTCCGTCTTCTATTGTTACCATGTTTGTGTAAAGACAATTTATCTTTGAATTAGGTGCAATTATTTTCAACTAGCTTCGAATTCGAACAAACAAAATTTAACTGTATTTTCAAATTGCATTTCGTTCTAATAATTTGATCACAATTTTCATGAAATATAATATATATCCATGAAATTTCGGCATTTCATAAATTATATCTTTATACGGTTTCATATTAATATCTAGATGAGACAAATCTTTCGTACGAAACTGTATGTATGTGACTGAATGAAAATACTTCACTCATTGTTAAAGAAAAATTAATTTGACAATATGTAAAATTTATCTGTACCAGTACGCAATACTAGCAATATCGGTTGTCGTTTCGGCGGTCCTCGAGTGCGTTCTGTGGACGCCACTTTCCATTGTTGAGTGTGGTATTTATATGTTACGTCCAGGGTTAAAAGTCTAAGATAAATGTTTTCTTATCTTGAGGCAAGTCTAACTTACTTACTCGTAATATTTCAAGAGTGGAATTTTTCTTCAATCCAACCAAGAGTTTTTCTAAGCATTCTTTACTGATTCTATTACACGTGACATCCAGCTCAAGTAAAGTGTTGTTCCTTTCTAGCGCACGTGCTAATGCTTGACATCCGTCGATGAAAAATCCATTCCATGCCAAATTTATTTTTCTGAGACACGTATTTCCCTGTGATTGAAATCCACAAATAAGTTATTGGGTCTGTGATGAAATGGTCCGAAGAATTTTAGTTGGTATAATAATACCAACATTCCTATTTAATGTTTCAATTATTTCAATTATTATTTCAAATAGTGTTCCATCAAAGATTTGACGCTACAGGCCCCGTGTTCACTGAGAAAAGATCAGGATCAAGTGATCCTGATTTTATTTTTATTGTTTTATGTCACTAAAATTAATATCGTATGAGTTTTAAATACTATCGTGTTTTGACTTCCCGTATTATGCATAAGAACAAAACAGATCTAATTAAGTGCACCTACAACTGAAAACAATTATATGATATCATATATTACTGTTCCTTTCTTGGAAAAAAGTTCAGAATCGTGAAGAACAAAATACGTTCTACCATTACATATATTTTAAAGCCATGAAATTTACATTAATTCCAATATTTAAATCAAATTACTCTAAAAGAAAATACCGAACACTTACCGCAAGACCATCGGCAATGAAGCAAGCACCGTCTCTTCGTAGATGATTCCAGCTTAGGTCAAGAGACAAGATTGTTTCATTTGTAAGAAGAGCTTCCCCGATGACTGCTCCGCCAGCAAAACGTAATTCATTACGGGATAGACCCAAATGTCTCAAGAAAACAGTTTGCTGGAAAATCAGCACAGATAAATGAAAATTCAATAATAACATGTCTTAATCTTATTTGTCAATAGATCATTACGACAGAAAAATATTTAAATATAAAGTTTTGATTTCTTATTCGTAATGCCTTTACTAAAGTTTGAGGTTTACATGTATTTTGGTCATAAATTAAGATGTTTATTCGGAATGTCTTTTTTCTGAATAAGATGATTTCGATAATAAAAGGTGTTAAGATGTAAAAAAATAATACATGTTAATTTACCATTCTTTTATAAGGAATTATTGTACTAGTACCTAATTATAATGTTATCATTGATAAACCTACTTCAAAAAGGGGTCGAATTATCTCTGAGTCACATTCCCTCAAACCATTTCCTGAAAACACCAAAGACGTAGGTAACAAAATGTTTGATAAACTTGTCCTGTCTGGTAAAGCCAACATTATGCGCAATTTTATTGTCAAGTTGAGCTGAATTGACTTATATTAGCTGAATTGACTTTATAATTCAAAAGATTGACCGTTATAATGGTGATTTGCAAATTGGTTGTTACTGGAAAAATTTTAGGATAAAAATATCTATCTGCCTTAAATGTAAAAAACTGCCTTACTCTTTTTATAAATTGAACGTTACAGAAAATTCTAATGCATATTTACAGACGTTTTCTTGCGACACGTGAATTTTGTATCGTTCATGTAAAAAAATGATATAATTGAAAAGAATTATGGCAAATTGTAATCTTATTTTGACATTAACCTGTTCATTCACTTTGTACCCCTGAATGGGCATAATGTAATTTATTATACATCGACAAATACTAGTAATGGATCCTTTTTGTTGTAATAATGTGTGTATTCTAATGAAATGAAAGTTGTCGAGGTCTGTGAAAAATCTTTTATATAAAAGTGATGCTTGATTTCATGAAAAGTAGCGGAATAATTATGATGAATGTTATTATTTACTTCGGATGAATTATGCAGATAATATTTTGTTAAATAATCTATTTATGTACAAAATTGTTGATTTCTTTATACATGTACGCCTATTTTGTCAATATGTTGCTTATTTGTAAATATAATGTTCTCATAGGTCCTTCTGGAATTTACTTGAATAAACTAAAGAGAAATAAAGAATTCCTAAAGAAAGCCAAACAAGACAAAATTGAAAATGTTGCAGGCTCGGTTTGATTGAGCAAGTTACCGCCCACGCCCTCTAGCACCATAGTCTAAAAATCTAAAATGCATGATATATAAAACATTGAGGTTGTGAGGGGTTGTTGTTCATATTGTATATAACTTGTTGCTCGACATATTTGCACTTTATCTCTTTCTGAATATTTAATATAATGAATGTTTTGAAGAAAACTCGTGTTTGCCTAAGATATTGATTTGATGTTTTATAATTTGATGTAATTTTATTTTCAAAAAATAAAGAGGACTGTTATAATTTATTTTGTTTAAATGTGTGTTTATTTTCAAATGTTGGGTAATACATGTGTACATAGTGCGTATATTATAGTCTGACAGGAGCACCATTTGACTAGTGGGGTGGGGTAGAGTGTTAAATTCTGATGTTACTTCATTTTATACATGTTCAAGATATGTCTTACCGGCAATACTAAGATTGTGTATTGTGTCTTGTTCAATGATGATTTCCACAATATATTTTAATCCAAGCACTGTCAGTTTATTGTCTGCTAAACTCTAAAAAAATAGAACGTTCAATAAATATAGAGGATATTGATTGTTTGTGACGAGTAGAGTAGCCAGGAGTGAGAATACTGTTTTTAAAGTTCACAAGATGAAATAAAATTACATCTTGCACAACAAACAAACAAATTTTCTTTTTATTTTATGCTTATAAACAAGTTTAAATTTCCTTAATATTACCTTGAATATTAAAATCTGTTTTCCCCACTGTTAGTCGAATTTCTCATAAAATACCAGAAGTCTTGGGCTGAAAAAATAAGTTGACAATCAACGTTAAATGGCGGTGATACTATTCATTCTATTCAAATAATATGAATGATCGCATGTTTTAACAATTCTAGTAGGAGAAAAAATCAAACCATCCATCCTTATTTCTGTTACCTACGCGAATTTATATTAAACCTGGCTCTGTGAAATGTAAGCGGCCGCCATTTTTAAAAGTTCTGTATTTCACGGGAGGAAAATAAATGTGTTTGATTCAGAGGAATATATGGAAGGAATTGTATTTCTCAGACTGTAAAAATGAAACAAAAATATAGAGACGATATTTAGTGATTAATAATTTGAATGAATTGAAGTAAGTTTTCTTCTTTTTATTACTTTTGAAATTTCAGGTATTTATCAATTTCAGCTTTGTTTTTCTCTAAACCATGTCAGAGTTGTAAACAGTAGTCTCATCATTGAACAGTGTGAAATTATATTTTGATAATTTTCACTGTGAAATTATCAAATATAATTTTCACGGATAAATCAGTAATCCACTGAAAAGCATAAAATAAAAAGTGATATCCCTACAAATTGAAAAACTAATTTTTGAAAATTCTGTAAATGCAAATTCAAAAGAAAATAATTTCACCAATATTGTCATCAGAAAGTAAGATCTTTCCTGAAAACAAAATAATTGATTTATTTTATGAAAACCAAATAATTCCACTTTGTGGCATTGATTATTTTATCTTTTTTATCCCATTAACACCCTTTTTGCTTATATAATAGAATAATTTCCACTTATTGAATCTTACCAAATTTTGAATAAACGTATTTTCCTTCATAGCATCTGCTATATATTTTGCTCCTAATGGTCCAATGTCATTATCAGAGAGGTCCAGTGTTTCTATTGAGCTGTTGCTCTACAAAATCATGAAAAAGTGCAACATCTTCAACGCTCCCTACAAACAGTATCGGTCCTATAGTGTTCAAAAGGGAAAGTAGCAGTCGTGTTAGAATTGTAAATAGTGAGCGAGGTGGGTAAATTTGATTGCTGTGAATAAAACATGCACCTGTTCAGACTTGATGTATAAACATGTATGTTTAAACCATCTTTTGTTGGTCATCTTTGACTGATTTTCTTTCAAGAAAACATTATCAGTTCATATGTTTCCACTGTTTTATTTTATCGGATAACGTAAGTTGCGCTCCCGTGATTGACGCAGATCGTGTTAGATTGTCTTTATCAATAAAATGTGACAAGGATTCCCTCATTCTCTGCACCAGACTTTGGCTCAATTTTTCAGTAAATTTTGCATCACCTTGTTGGCTTATTACTTTTGTCATCTTTTCGACTTCACGTCGGAATGCAGGATTTCCCGACATTTTCTTTGCCATAAGTCGAGAAAGTTTTATTCTTATGCGACCTATGTCCGTGTCTTCAACATCCATGTCGCTTTCCTGGGTCATGAGAAATTTGCTCATTTTTCGCCTGTGTTCTGCTTGTGCTGCCATTAATTCTCTATAAAATATAAAAAAAATCAATTTGGTATCCATACCATACACTGACAATAAACAATAAAATTTATTAACATTGCTTGTAATTTTTCCTCCCCCTTCAAACTAATTGAACGGGTTAGGCGTTTGTTGTTGGACATTGGAAACGTATTAGAAAAAAGTCTCAAACAGCCGCATTCTCTTATGTTGACCTGTGCTTAAACGTTTAATAGCGTATAATATTTACATAATGTCCATGTTTAAATATTTGCTTTACCACTTACCCGAAGTCTATCTCACCATCACCGTCCACATCAAGCTTTTGTATAAGGATGTCTATACACTCGTCACTCAGTGGAATATTCACCATCTGCAAGAGAAACACTAACAGTAAAAGGTGAAAATTATTAAATAATAATATTATTCATGACTTGGAATTGACGTTTCCATGCTTCACATTTTGGTCTGATAGAGTACTCGATATGTTACAAATACTGAAACTTTAACATACTGGGAAATGAAACTATCAACAAAAATATATATGTTTGTACAAAGATCACAATTAAATTAAGAGTGACGTTTACAGTCGTCAACAAAATCCAGCCCAACTCATGATCGGACTCAAATGTACCCAGCAGGGCACCGACTCAACAGTAGGGAAAGGTACAAAGAGCGGGACATGGAAGAAGGCATACCAATTTAAGATAAAGTTTCATTACCAGACATTCTTTACAAATTACTAAATTTCAACTGCATTTATTCATTTTCACTAATTATATCTGTAAAAATTTCAATAGCAATTATTTGAGAGAGAAAATATGTGATTCTTAGCCAAAAGATGGAGGTAAGATCAAGTTTCCCTTCGATTTTCATCAACGAATGCTTTTTGTACAAAAAGTCATATAATTAATTGCGTGCGGAGATTGATTTACTTGAAGACTGACATGTAATCTTATAAGTAACAATATTAATGATCATGTATTACCCTAAGTCCCGTCTTTATTTCGTCGTGATCAAGTGTTTTACTGCCATCCTTATCAAACGCGGCAAAGAGGTCGAGCAGACGAAATCCCATCAGTTTACCGAACTCCATGATAACTATGGTAGGATTTTCGTCCATCAAAGTAAGTTAATCGTCATCAGCAGTTTGATCTCGACCTTGTACCTACAAACAAAACTTTACTTAATCAGTTTTATTCCTAAATGTCAAATTTTAAATGAAGAAAGTGCTATCAAAGACAGGAACACAATATGTGAGATCAATGAGTCGTTTTTTCAAGCTGTAATGGCATGTGTTGTAAGCGTGCAAAAACAAACTTCCCCCCATCAGCATTGACAGCACTCTTTTGATAAAATCATAAGTGTAAAATAAGTATATTGTAACACGTTGGTAGAACGTCATAATACTTTAAATGAGCATTAAAATATGCAAAAAACTAAAAATGGAGAATAAACATATAGGAAAGTATCCCATGCATTGGGGAATAACCACTTTCGGTGGTGATCTTGCTTTTCACTGACATGGTTTGTGTGCCGTACATAATACACTATGAAGTAAGGTTCATCTATTCTATACTTTGCATTTATCGGTGTTAATATATGAAACCTACTACAAGGCAAGATCCCTCCATAGAAATGAAAACAAAGTTTGAAAGTAACAATAGCAGATTTGGTTTGATTGATTCTCTTCACAAGAGACAATGGGAAGTATATAATCTTTCAGAGTGAACGGTGACTACCATCAGATAAGTGATATTTGATATCCTCTGTTTGATTAAGTGTGTTTGGGGTCCGTCTGGGCTCCTTGCCACTGGTTCTTGTTGCTGGGTCGTTCATTGAACGCCGCCTTTCCTTGTTAATCTTGTTTATCATATTTGACCCAAATCACTCATCCTGCCATATAAATATATATGTTCATGTGGAAATATAAAATTATAATCAAATAAAATACCTGTCCATGAATGACTCTAACGTCTTTAATGGCTTTAACCTGGGAAAGGACATCAATAAATGACGGTTTCACTAATGTATCCTGGAATATGTAAGATTTAAATTACTTTACAAGTTACAAGTTTTGATCTTTTGCGTAGATAATCACTAAACCTTTCCATTTCTGCTGTAATCGTTTGTGAAAAAAAATATTAAAAATTTATACAGTTAACATGAAAAGGCAAACATAACACTTAAATTAACTTCGTGCCGTCTTATCAAGATGGTAACCGCGGTTCTCTATTAAGTAGGTACATGTATAATGTTTTAAATTTTCCCTGAACATAAATAATTGGTTTGCCTAGATTGAAAGTTTTAAATATTTAGCGTGGTAAGTGTTAACATTTCCAGGTAACTTGACTCTTAGCAGTAAGTAGAACACTATAAGATCATGCATTTTTTTCAATGGAAACGATTTAACTTTGTACAATATCTTTAATAAATGAGCCGCGTCACGACAAAACCAACATAGTGCGTTTGCGACCAGCATGGATCCAGACCAGCCTGCGCATCCTCGCAGTCTGATCAGGATCCATGCTGGTCGAAAGCGCACTATGTTGGTTTTGTCGTGACGCGGCTCAAATTCATACACTTATACTAATATCTAACTCTCCGATTCCGGTTGTTTTGTTGTCTTTTAAGAACTGTATGAGCAACAACTTCAGGAGTTATAGGATTTTTTCCTATCTGAAAATATTTGAAATTAGGATTATACAAGGTACGTACATTTTCATTCAATGAAATTGCAGGATATTTTTAATAAAGCATTTTATCACAAAGACACAGTTTTTATGCGTTTTAAGCTCCGTCTTCTTTTGTGACCATGTTTGGGTACAGACATTGTATCTTTGAATAAGGTGCAATAATTTTCAACTAGCGTCCAGCGGGTCTTTTTGTTTGAGATCATGTTCAAGAGTCCGAACGATCCGAGGTATAACAATGTATACCATATAGGCATTTTGCTCACGTGTTCAAGCAAGCGATCCGAATTCGAACATTTAACGGTACTTATAAATTGCATTTCGTTCTAATAACTTGATCACAATTTATATGAAATATAATATATCCATGTTTTTTCGGCATTTCACAAATTATATCTTTATACGGCTTCATATTATAATCTAGATGAAACAAATCTTTCGTACGAATCTGTATGTATGTGACTGAATGAAAATACTTCACTAATCGTTAAAGACAAAATTAATTTGACAATATGTTAAATTTATTTGTACGAGTATGCAATACTAGCAATATCGCTTGCCGTTTCGGTGATCCTGTTTAACTGATTTTTGTCGTGTGCTTCTGTGGACGCAATTTTTCCTTGTTGAGTGTGGTAGTCATATGTTACATCCAGGATCTAAGATAAATATTTTCTTATCTTGAGGTAAGTCTGACATACTTACTCATAATATTTCAAGATTGGAATTTTTCTTCAATCCAACCAAGAGTTTCTCTAAGCATTCTTTACTGATTCTATTACACGTGACATCCAGCTCAAGTAAAATGCTGTTCCTTTCTAGCGCACGTGCTAATGCTTGACATCCGTCGATGAAAAATCCATTCCATGCCAAATTTATTTGTCTGAGACACGTATTTCCCTGTGTTTGAAATCCACAAAATCAAGTAAATTAGGTCTGTGATGAAATTGTCTGAGGAATTTAACTTGTGTGTTTAAAATACTTTCGTGTTTTAATATTTCACGTGTTATGCAAAAGAACAAAACATATATAAAGTGCATCTACTATTTTAATATCTAATTTAAATAAGTGTTATTCCATTTAAAAAGTTCAGACTTATTAAAAATAAAATAGTTTTAGCCACTTATGGTGTTTTAAAGCCATAAAACTGACATTTATTCCAATACTTAAATCATATTACTCTATAAGAAAATACTGCACACTCACCGCAAGACCATCGGCAATGAAGCAAGCACCGTCTCTGCGTAGATGATTCCAGCTTAGGTCAAGAGACAAGATTGTTTCATTTGCAAGCAGAGCTTCCCCGATGACCGCTCCACCAGCAAAACGTAATTCATTACGGGATAGATCCAAATGTCTCAAGAAAACAGTTTGCTGGAAAATCAGCACAGATAAATGAAAATTCCATAATAACATGTCTTAATCTTATTTGTCAATAGATCATTACGACAGAAAAATATTTAAAAATAATGTTTTGATTTCTTATTCGTAATGCCTTTACCAAAGTTTGAGGTTTACATGTATTTTGGTCATAAATTAAGATGTTTATTCAGAATGTCTTTTTCTGAATAAGATGATTTCGATAATAAAAGGTGTTAAGATGTAAAAAAAATAATACATGTTAATTTACCATTCTTTTATAAGGAATTATTGTACTAGTACCTAATTATAATGTTATCATTGATAAACCTACTTCAAAAAGGGGTCGAATTATCTCTGAGTCACATTCCCTCACCATTTCCTGAAAACACCAAAGACGTAGGTTACAAAATGTTTGATAAACTTGTCCTGTCTGGTAAAGCCAACATTATGCTCATTTTTATAGTCAAGTTGAGCTGAATTGACTTATATATTTCAAAAGATTGACTGTTATAATGGTGATTTGCAAACGGGTTGTTACTGGAAAAAATTTAGGATAAAATATCTATCTGCCTTATATGTAAAAAACTGCCTTACTCTTTTTATAAATTGAACATTACAGAAAATTCTAATGCATATTTACAGACGTTTTCTTGCGACACGTTAATTTTTTATCGTTCATGCGAAATTATAATAAAATTGAAAAAAATTATGGCAAATTGTAATCTTACTTTGACATTCACTTGTTCATTTATTATATATCCCTGAATGGGCATAATGTTATTTATTAAACATCGACAAATAATGGATTCTTTTTGTTGTAATAATGTGTCATTATTATTACAAGTTATACATGAATGCACACAAATATCATATGATAATGAATCACATAAGATAAAATACCTTTATCATTTAAGAATAATGCATGTTTACACAAACAAACATGATGTTAAGTTATATGGAAATTGTGAAATAAAGTTTCTATTTTTCAAGAGGATGTTTAAAAAACATCAAATATTTAACTGAACATTTCTGAATACCAAACTTTCTTTAATGTATCTCGCTAAATTAACCAATAAAATTGAAGTTTGCAATAGCTGAGTAAATTTGAACATCGATGGTCTTACATAAACATATTTTATATATATATATTTTACGAATATTATTGTAACAAGGACAAACCAAAATATAATGATATTCATTTTCGATATCAATAGTATTACAGCATTGACAATATCATTCGTTTCGTGATAATGTCTATTATATCTACACGTTTGTATTCTGAGAGACATTCTTATTCTGGAAATATACATTCTTAAACTACGTGGTAAAAAGTCAAGGTAAATTTCATACGATAAATTGGTTTTGCAATTTTTACATAGATCTAAAACATTACAATTTTCAATACTACCATGCCAATTTTGCACATAACTTTCAACAAGTCTTTGTTTAAACATTCCAGGAAATAATTTACCGTCACCTTTATTACTATTTATAAAATCATCAGCAAAACCATATGTATACAATAATCGTTTAACATTTGAGACCCAGTTTTTATATCCATGTTCACAATCAATAACACTTTGTTCGTAAACTTTTTTCATAATTATATTAAGAGTTCGGATCGTTTTACACCAAAGCTTGATAACCTTGACAAAATAAGCAAAATATAATGGCCACCTTCCTACTTCACCATAAACCCCAGCATTATAGACCTTTTTACAATACGATTCTTCCAAAGTAACCGATGTTGCATTTCGCGCATGCGCATTCTGCGTAGGGCAAAAGCGCAGTAAAATTGAGAACAGTGTATGATATACTTTAAGGCTTCAATAGTCGTGATTCCATGTTATGTCAACCAGAAAACAGTTATTTTGGATGACTTAAAGCGGTAAGTACTTAAAACGTTAATTGATATTTATAACAGATTTAATTAATATGCGGGACTAATAATCCAATGGTCAAAAGGCGCACACAAAAGTCGTCTGTTTAAGGTATCATTAGACGACTTTTTCATCTGTTATTAAAATTTAAACAGCAGCGTGTTGAAGATTAAATTTTATTACCCTTGTATTAAATAATATTACACAATGTGTATTGTACACTTCCTTTTGGATTGGCCAGGACCATGTTGCTCTAAAGTTGAGATCTTCTAAAGTTTATTTGTAGATCTGACGATGCTCGAAAGGTCACGGTCATGTAACCTTTTAATCAGCCAATCTGTGGCCGCTTTCGCGTTCACGAAAATGGAACACTTATATTTTCAGTCGTTGGAAACCAGACATGTGTAATGCGATTAACATGATAAAATGACATTACATTTGACAAAAATGACGATGCCCTTCGATACTTTTAAGATAAATGGCATAACTGGATTTAACGTTTTGATACCGAAATTGATAGTCTTGGATATAATTTTTCGCAGAAATTATATTCTAAATGTCTATTTTAATTTTTTCTAAGGCAAATCAATTCACGGATGACATAAATAATTGTCTGTAAGATTTGCTAAAATAACCTTATTCTAAAATCCAAATAGGCTAAAAGTCGAAAATGAGTTGCTGGGAATTAGATCTACATGTTATGCACATAAGAAGATAGGATTTTCCTAAACTTCAGTCAGATTGGCGTTGGACTGTGAACCGGGCGATTCAAGCAATGTACAGGATTGATCATGAAATCTACGGTCATTTGCATTGTGCCACTGCTCTGGCATATAAGGAGAAAAGTAAGGGCATTTAGTACTGGTCAACTGGTTTGCATCCTGCACAGGAATGGCGCGGTGACTCAGCTCTGCTCTCGTGAATTCAATTTGACTTACATTAATTTTGTAAATAAGTTAGAGTGTCTGTGTATGCCATTTGTTACTCAACCAATAGAATGAATAATGACATGTGTAAATTTAAAACTGGAACTGTTTATATGAAATCAAATGTTCGTTATATCTTTATTTGCATTTTTGAAATTTTGTAAATGGGGAAAATAAAGTTATTTCGTTTTTGATAGACAGTGAATATACTTGTTATACTATTAGTGTAAGTTTATTTGAGATTGTTGAGCGAGAGTATTAATTAATATGTTATATGTATAAACTTGGCAAGTTTGTTAGTATAGCAAGGATAATGTAATCGTGACATTTATGTAAACTTTAAACACAATTAATGAACAAAATATGGTAAACAAGATCAACAAGGAAAGGCGGGATTCAATGAACGGCCTAGCATCTTTGACTATACATGTATATGCAAACAACCGCTCATGTCGAACATTAAACTGTTCTATTAACTGATTTATTATATTGTTGTGGGGCGATAGGGTCTTTGGCTTTACACCACAAACCTCTCACCAATATAGGTTTGAAATTTCAGCCATATAAGGGCCATATTCTTTCATGTGAGTCGGCTATTCAGCTAGCTTGTTCTACTCAGGGGCCCGTTTGTGCCTCAAATAATGCACGACGAAGTACCTGTGGTCATTATAGTATTATGTGTAATTAAGCGATGACATGGTGGAGGAGGAGGTGATGATGTATAACTTTAATGCTCATGAAGATGTGATGATGATAATAAAAAATTTAATAATGGAAGTACTGATTATGATAATGATTATATGGTAATAATTATGATTTTATGATGATGGAAGTGATAATGATTTATGACGACGACGAAGACGACGATGATGATAAAGGTGATTATACAGTGATGGTTATTATAATTGTGATGATTATGATTAAGATGAAATGATTTTTCATGATGATGATGATGATGTTGATTATCAGATTTTGATAATAATACTTGAGGTGATAATGATTTAAACGATAACTGACGTAAGTATTTCAATTATGATTGTTATTGAGGTGATGATAATCATATTTTTGATGATAATGATGATAAAAATGATGATGATGATGATGATGATGATAGAAGTGATCATGATTTCAATAATGATGACACTGGAGAAGGTGACGAGCTTGATGGTGAGGAGCGAAAACTATCTTAATAATGCTGATGAAAATCATAGTGATTTCGATTATGATAGTCATGGTAAAGGTTTTGATGACGTTGGTGGTGACGATGATGATGACGATGACGATGATAACGCATTTTGTTTTGATGATTTTCATGATGATGATGATGGACTTGACGATGAGTGTAATGATGATTATGTTGATAACAATGGAATTGATGATTGTAGTGATTTTGTAGTGACTTTTATTATGATAATGATGATGGTCATAATAGACATGACGATGATGATGCAAGTTAACATTTTCTTAGAAGCTACGTTATCTTTCACAATTTCATAACAAGAAGTATTGTTCATCAAAGCGAAGCATCACTTTTGAAATCCAATCATGATGTTGCTGAATATAGTTCCAGGGAGCATTATTCGTTTTGTACTTTACGATATAGCTCTCGGAGATCTCAACACAACAGAGCAATATACAGCAAAACAAAGCGTTGTTCAGGACATATATACTTATCACAGAAAAACAACTTAAGCGCTGATTACTCTTATGCCATTGTTAAAAACAAAAGCCATTTACATATTAACCTCTTGTGTCATCAACGACTAAACTAAATCACGTCACAATATCGCCTGATGATACTGGTGGTTGTCATACACTGATATAATGTGCATTTACTATTTATATTTGCTGACTTTTTAAATGAGCATTTAAGAAGGTAGGCTTTAACATACATTTATTATCTTTGTCTTTTAGAATGTTCTCCGGAAATATATATAATAAATATGTAAATAGGAATGTTCTCCGGAAATATATAATATAAATATATATAAATATAAATATCGATGTAGGTAGTTGCAAGAAAATCGTTATATCTGCATGAATCCTATTATTGTAAATCATAATTCTTTAATGTCAGGTATTGCAAAAATCTACTATTAATTTCAGGGATATCACGATTAAATTGTTAAAAAAATTCCCAGCTATATGGGAGAGCACACGACCAATTATTGATCCAGTCTCAGCTTTAAAATTGTACACATTTAGAGATTGATAGGCTGTTAACGATAATAATGTAATATTTTGTTTAGAACGGTCAAATTATAATTATTAAGTTAAGATGTTCCCGGTCACAACTATCAAAACAGATAATTTGTATTTTGTATGATAAAATAACACATCTTAATCGCATGAATTTTTGTCGATTGATCGATTAAGAAAGGGAAAAAATGGAAAAGGTAAAGAACAGAAGGAACTACACTTTACTTTTAATAGCCTCCGTTTGATATGTTGCTTCCTTTAGTTGAGCCGAGTTAATTTGTATTTTGTAATGATGAAATGGGACATATGTACTCAAAATTCATTGATAATTTGAAATAAGGAAGAACAGTGAAAATGTCCTTTCACTTTTAACTAACATATTCCTCTTTATTTTTGAAAATGTCACCATTTTCATGTTTAAATGTTGAACTCTGCTAAAACCGGTCCCAGGGACATGGACAGTAGCTTGTATCGTGAATGGACAGGCTTAAATGAACTGAGACTGCAACAGTTTCAATTGCGCTATTATTGGCGTTCGTTAGGGACTCCGTTTAATCCATTTTATTGATAGGGAAAACGAACAAGACCTCATATATCTTTTTCTATCTTTATTTTATAGTAAATGTTCCTGGCGGCAATAATTACAATTGTATTCATTGATTTAAGGACTGCACAAGAATCAAAATTACAGTTACAAAAGTCAATGTATTTTGTATTCTATGCTTGAAATGTTATTACATAATGAGTAATGGACATCTATTTGAGCATTTATAACAAAATATACAAATTTCAGAAGCTTACACTATTATTTAACAAATAATACCAAGAAACTGCTAGATACATTTTGAGAAGAAAATTCAATAATTCTGTAAAATACATACAGTATTTGTTATTATTGCAATGTTTTAATGCATATCAAAGCATGTAGTCAGATTATCCATAATTGTTCATTATAGATTTTAAAAGTACATAACATTTTAGCTTTATAAATTTCCTTAAACTGTATATCCAATGGTCTGCCATTCCTTTTATTTAGAACATTTTGATTTCCCAGTTACATTTAGATATATTGTATAAAATTGGATAATTATAAATATCAACCTCTAACAAATAAAATCACTAATAACTCCAACATATATTTTCTCATTTAAATTTTATAAAAGAATAATCATAAAAGTTACTCGGTTAGTTTGGTTATTGGGTTTGGAAGTCTGACATAAAAGTTAGTCTCTCTCCCTCTCTCTCACACACACACACACACACACACACACACACGCGCGCACGCTTGCACGCACGCACGCATGCATGCGTATGTACACTTTTAAACCCACGTGTGTAAGCTATTCACGGTACAATGAAAAAGTCAACATAAAATACATTTTTTTTTCAAATAAATATTTCTCAACACAACAGAGCAATATACAGCAAAACAAAGCGTTGTTCAGGACATACTTATCACAGAAAAACAACTTAAGCGCTGATTACTCTTATGCTAATGATAAAAAACAAAATGCATTTACATGTTAACCTCCTGTGTAATCAACGACTAAACTAAATCACGTCACAATATCGCCTGATGATACTGGTGGTTGTCATACACTGATATAATGTGCATTTACTATTTATATTTGTTGATTTTTTAAATGAGCATTAAAGAAGGTAGGCTTAAACATACGTTTATTATCTTTGTCTTTTAGAATGTTCTCCGGAAATATATAATATAAATATATAAATAAGAATGTTCTCCGGAAATATATAATATAAATATATAAATATCGATGTAGGGAGTTGCAAGAAAATCGTTATATCTGCATGAATCCTATTATTGAAAATCATAGTTCTTTAATGTCAGGTATTGCAAAAATCTACTATTAATTTCAGGGATATCACGATTAAATTGTTAAAAAAAATTCCCAGCTATATGGGAGAGCACACGACCAATTATTGATCCACTCTCAGCTTTTAAAATTGTACACATTTAGAGATTGATAGGCTGTTAACGATAATAATTTAATAATTTGTTTAGACATAAAGTCAACATAAAATACATTTTTTTTTTCAAATAAATATTTACAAACCTTACAGAAATCTTTGAAACGTGCATTCATCACATAGAATAGAGTAATTAAAACACATAAATTTTAAGGCTATATAAAAATGATAGCAAAACATAGCAAACGAGAAGTCAAGAAACTGAATAAAAACTGTAAATGAAAGACTATGGTTATATTTCTGCATCTATTAAAATGAAATTACAGATGATTAAAAGCAAATCACTAGATGAAACTAAAAATACAAATGCATCTCTTGGATTAGGCAAATAATAATTAAAAGAGTTATAAAGGCAAAATATGTACAGACAGAAATAACATATCTGTGGCAATTTTGCGTATGTAGTACATTGATGTTACGCATAATGTCTTTGCAGTGAGAAAAATGATTGAACAAGCAAAATTAGGTACATGTCAATGAAAAATCCTACATTATGTTATGTTTCTTACATTCTGTATATTAATGTATCAAAAATAACCTGAAAGTTATAACACTTGTTTAAGGAGGGTTTGTTGATGAATCCCAAGTAAATTTGAGTTTGATGGTCACATTACAACTTACAGTTCTTTTACATGCTTAATGCTGAAAACTATTTGTATGATAAATGTCAAATTTTGGTGTGATTAAAGACATAAATATATTTCACTCTTTCACACTGATTTAGTGTTAGGAGATCAGAATTTCAAAAAAAGTCATACTTCAGTATGACAGTTGCAGATGCATGCAGTCCTTTAGACCACAGAAATGTAAATTGACAGTAAGTTACATTATTATGTATCAGCACGCGTTTGCTGTGTTTACATTTAACAGTTTGCTTTACGTAAATGATAAACGTTTCAATGTAAAAAAGTTTAAATATTAACAGATTGATGATATATTTTATACAGCTACTCCAAAGAGACACACGTTATCATGAAGGAAGTAAATCGGCCTAGAGTTTCATCTGTTCGCCTTCTCAAAACATTCTATAAAATATCAACCTATTATTTGGTACGTACAAGAAGCAAATCAAATTTACACTTCAATTGGCGTAATATTGTCATCTTTACTTGATTTTATTCCAAGCACACTGTTTGTTTGCGCACTGATTCCCTCAACAGAATATTGCTGCTATAATCTAACTGCAAATATTTTACCATAAAGCAACTGTTTAACGTCATTCAGAGTGTTGCTAACGTTTAGCATGAACGCCGGCGGAATTCGAAACCCAATTATATCGTGTACAATGTTGATAAAAGTGACAGTTGACATTGAGTCAAATGCCATCTGTTCTATAGAAGATGTCATGCTGATTTGACGATGGTCACCTCCAATCACTTTTCTTGAAATCTTTTGAATGACCTGCGTTAAAGCTGCCAGTTGTCTCTCTGTTCCAGCACTTTGCAATGTTTTTACATCAAAAGACATATCATCTATTCCATCATTGTCAAAGTGCATACTATGTGACACTGCTTGTTCAATCAAAATCGACATCTGTAACCTCGTTCTCTCCAGCTTCGTGTTTGTATAATCTTTTGCACATATATCCCAATTAATATCAGCGTATACGATACTAGTTGCATTCCGCATCAAAGCATCTTGAAAACAACTTCTGATTTCAAGGACTGTTAGGAGATTGAATCCTCGTTTTGTAAAGTTTTGTACAAATTGAGGTCTAGACGCCATTCCCACACACAATGCTCCCCAATTTATAGCTTGACCTGGTAGTCCTTGTTCACGTCTCCATTCTATAAATGTATCTAGAAATGAGTTGGCGGCACCGTAGCTACTCTGGCCAGGTGAGCCGATCAGACTATTTATTGAGGATGAGACTACAAAATAGTCAAGCTCCATATCCTTGGCAACTATATGCAAATTTAATGTCCCTATCACTTTCGGTTGCAGTACATAATCAATCTGAGACTCTTCTAAGTTCATAAGGAGTTGACTATTCAAAACGCCAGCTCCATGAAATATACCACGAACAGATTCTTGTTTTGCATACGATTCAATTTCTTTTACAGTTCCATACATTGACTTTAAATCAGTAACATCCCCTTTTACATTGATTATCTTGCACCCTGTTGTTTTCTCGACTTTGGCAATATCATCTGCTTTATCTGCCGAGCGATCTCGTCTTGATATCGATCCTATAATACCAGCACCCATTTCAGCCAGCAGGACAATCAACTCCCATCCAAGGCCAGTCAGTCCGCCCGTTACAATATATATTCCAGACTTACTGAACAATCTATTGATAGGGTTTCTAATGGGCAGATTTACTTTGCCATTTTTCATTATTTCAAATGAGTTGAAAGGTAATCTGCAACTATCGTCTTGTTGCAAAGAGCCCTCCAAAATTCCTAAACTTTGAGAGTTCTTTCGTAGCCAGGAAACGACTTTTGGAAGAAGATTACAAACACTTTTCTTTTCAAGCAGTTCTATAGCAGAAAAGGTCGAAACAGATTGTTCCCCAGATCTCGAAGCTTTTAGACGTATTGGTTCTGAAATATTCTCCTGTAGGCATATTATCTTTTTACATTTTGCTAGTATAGGTAAACTCGAATCGAGCTTTTCAAGTGACAGCAAAACGTCAAAAGTGGTTTCATTGTGAATGTTATTGTTTGACAAATCGACGAGGTTGGCATTCTTTTTACTACGTACCAAAGTTTCTAAAATGAGCTTCGTTAATGAAGACTTGTGACAGCTGTAAACAAACACACTTGAACGTTTTGGGACTTGTTTTGAAAGATTCCAACATAACACTGTAGTCAAAATAAGACCAGGTTGATAAAATGGAATGTCCTTCATATGTATAGTACAAGATCTTGGTACTGACATCCTTGTGGCTATGCTTGAGGGAAATATAGCTAGGATTTCCCATTTATTGAACGATTCCTCTTGATCAATGGCATGAATTTCAGATATCCCGCATGCAAATCTCCTGTTTGTAGACCCTGATATTGGAATACCCGTATATTCAAGGCCAAATAGATTATGCCCGTTATCTAAATTATCTCTCCATATATCTTGATCAAGACAAATCCCAGTTGTTGTCCTTGGGTAAATTGAAAGCGGATGTAAACAGACATTTTTTATCTCTAAAGATATATGTTCCTCCTTCGAGTTATTTACTTCATTTTCTTCCGACGGTGTTACAATCAAAGATTTAACTCTTTTTGATCTATCTGCTAAAACTTCGTGACGAGAAAAACTTTTTCTCAAAACTCTGTTTTCTACCCTAAGCGCTGGAATCATCTCCCTCCTTTGAACTTTTGAAAATTGAGCACCATAAATAGTTTCATAGTGTATGATAATTTCTGGTTTTGTTTTCTCCATTTTATGGCATGTATCACGTATGAAAGAGACTAAAGTATATTTTGTCTCTTGTAACGTAGGCTGAAGATCAATCAATGTAATATCACCGTGTATAAATTCGAGATGTATAGAACGAGTGAAACCCCAAAGTTCTTCTCCTATAAGATTGATTGATTTCGTTTCATTTGATAACGTTGGTTGTGTATTTTGCGTAACAACATACAGTGGTAAAGAAATGTTTAGATTAGTCATATACTTTACAAGTGCAGTGAGAAGCATACAGTTGTTCGTCACGCACTCATGTATATATGATGCCGAATCTGCATTTAAATCCGTGTCGTCGTGTTTACTGATAAACAATATGACAGCGTGAATCTCTCCGATAGTACCATCTATAAATGCATTTGATACGAATTCCTCATTTGACCAGTTGTTTTTATTTTGAAAAATAAATATATTTTCAAATTCTTCAAGCCCTTGATGTAAATCTTGTGAAGGCGTATTTGTAAGAAGCAGAACATTAGTTGTTTGCTTATTTGGCTCACTATTTTTTTCAACAGGGTGCCATGTTAAGCGGTATGACAATTCACAAGGCGCAATTGATGAATTTCTCTTGCCATATGTTGTATAGTTACGAAGGTCTACCAAAACTTTTCCAGCCTTGCTAAGTAAAAGGATATTGTAATGGACCTGCATCACGCAATCTAAAATTGTCGTGTTGATTCTCCTTGTGAAAATGTACATATACTTCTCTGGCTTGCCAAACATACGAAGATCACCGATAGCAACCGGCATAAATTTCAGCTTTTCATTTTTTATCTTTATCAAAATCTCTTCAGATGAATTGTTAATGGTTGATTGCATCATTCCATCTAAAACACACGGATGTAATGTTGTCAAGCCATACTGACTAACTACTTCATTTGGTATTTCTATTTCTGTTAAACTTTCGATACCATTTGTAATACAACTTTTTATTGAAGTGAAAAAGGGACCATATTTAAATCCCATTGCTTCTAAATTTGAATAGATTTCATCTGCAGACATGTGTTTACACCCCATGTTAGTAACTGAAAGTTTTAAACATTCAATATCTAACGTTTCAGATTCAAGTGACTCCTCTGTTGATTTTATCCAACCTTTGCACATAGTAACATGCTTATGTTTTGCATGAAATAGAAGTTCATTTCTTTGAACAACTGTGGAAATCTGCAAACTGGATTTTGTCCCAATTTCAATTTTTAAAGGCCGAAGAAATTCCAAGGACAATGAAATATTGTGTGTAGAAAGACCCAAGACATTGCCTCCTATTTCAAAGCCAACATCAGCATATGCTGCTCCAGGAAGTATTATGTGGCCGGCAACAATATGTTGAAATACAAAAGGTGTAGTTTCTTCACTTATCTCGATTTTAAAACGAGAAACGTCGTCTTTCTGTGGAAGTTGCTTGACAAACATATGTTCTGCATTTGTCATGTGTTTTCCTTGTGTTTTCTTTACAGCGTTTGGACTTTGGTAGAGTTTCCGATGTTTACGAAACTGATAAATAGGTATATCAGTCAAATCGCTTTGATGCGGAAATATAGTTTTCCATTTTGGGTTTAAACCAAGCTCGTACAGTGTACATAGTGCTTCCGTAAATGTCTTTACCTCACTTTGTTTCTGCATGGACGGAATTAATGTATAGCTGTTACTTCCATTTAATATTTTTTCAATATGTGCTCGTAGCACTGGGCCGGGTCCTATTTCAAGAAATATGTTATGCCCCGTTTTTGATTTCACTGCATTGATAGCATTTGAAAATAGAACTGGCATCCTAACGTTTTGTCCCCAATAGTTTGGCGTCCCAATCAAATCGTTTGTCACTTGTTCTCCTGTTACAGTAGAAAACATTGGTGTATGGCATTGGAATGACTGAATGTTTTGTAACTGCTTTTCTAGATCATTTGCTGCCTGTTCGACATGTGGACTATGGTATGCACATTGAACTTCTAAGTCTATAAACTTAGGTCTTATATTTTCTATTGTTGAAATTGTCTGTCTTAAAGTATTGATATCTTCAGCCTTCCCCGACACTGTGCACGATGTTGGACTATTAAAAACTGCAATATAAACTGATCCCTCAATTTCACAATGTTTTTTTACGATTTCGATTTCAACATTGTGTACAACTGCCATTCTACCAGACGTAACTGCTGCAAGAAGTTTCGATCTATAGAATATGATTTTAGTTGCTGTTTGAAGATCCAAATATCCTGCTACATATGCGGCTGCAACTTCTCCAACCGATTGTCCAACAACGGCATCAGGAACAATTCCTAGTTCTTTCCACATTGCAGCTAGGCCAATCTGACAAGCAAATATGGCAATGTGTGAAACCATCGGGTTAGACAATATATCCTCGCCGTCAGTAAGTTTGTTAGAAATCATCCAGCCTGAATGTGCTTTTAGATGTTTATCGATACATAATACTGCCTCCTTAAATACTTTTAACTTCATTAGTGAACTGCACATCCCTGTCCATGATGTACCAACGCCACAGAAAACAAAAACAACTTGTTTTGACTCTAAAGGTGGATATATGTTTTCACCCACGCTAAGAAAGGTAGCAGCAGCTGCAATAATACCGTCTTGACTGGTTCCATATAATGCTTTTCTGTTTGGTCGGTGATCACGTTTACATGTTGATGTGTACGATACGGAACCAATGTCATACACCTTCAATTTCAATAAATCATGTATATGTCGGACATTTGAAATGAGACTATCTTCACTATGTGCCGATATTGTTATAATGAAAGGTAAACATGTATCATTGTTCCTTTTCTGACTTTTATTTTGCAAATATTGTTCAACAATGCAATGAGCATTAGTGCCACCAAATCCAAAACTGTTAACACAAGCAATAAGATTTTCATTACCTGACTGTTTCCAAGGTTTGCATTCTGTCGGGACAACAAATCCATATTGTGACAACTTTATCAATGGATTTTCGTTTTCTTCGTTGTACCATAATGACGGTACAACAATTTGATACTTCATCATCAAAAGAACTTTGATGAGACCAGCAACACCAGCAGCTGCCTCCAGATGACCGATGTTTGTTTTTACGGAACCAATGAATACTTCTTCTGTTGCATTTGTGCATTTTCCAAATTGTTTCCCAAGTGCATTGACTTCTTGATAGAAATTATCTTAATTGTTTCATTTAAGTTTCATCATAAATAAAAAACAGGTCTATGTAATTGTCTTTGGGCATATTTACTGTTTTAAATACCTGGGTCATATTTATATTGACTTGAATAGTTTGATTTTCCATAATCCTTACGATATTTACTCGTAGATGTAGACTTATGATACATTATATAAGGTATGAACCAGAAGATAGGCATGTCGTTTAACTTGGTCAACAGCTCATATAAAATTCTAGCGTGATGCTTATTTCATGTGGTTCTTTTGAAGTGGCAGCAGCCATTTAGTTATGAAGAGTCACAGGTGACTATATTGACTTATTAGGAATTACGATTAACATAAGAAAGGTAGGTTTTGAGTAAAAAAACAAGAATAATTAACGATCAATTAAATTTCAAAGGCAGAAGCAACTAAAATTAACGAACCATGAGCTTCAATGACGCGAATTCTTTTTTTATCAACACCATATATTTCGAAGATATGTTTGATCAACGATTCTTGTTGAAATCCAGAAGGCGCTGTGATTGGTGATGCCATATGTCCATCCTGATTTGTTCCAGTTTTTATTGTACCCCATATCTTATTTCCATCCTGTATAGCCTAAATGCAATTATTTAGAAATAAAATGATATTCATATCTTGTCATGCAAAAGAAACTTATATTTCATAAATAACCTTTTACTAATGCATGTGGATGATTATCAAAATACTCTGGTGATTAAATGCATTTAAACCAACTGATATAGCGAGATGATTTCATTTTTTTTTTATAAAACAAAAATAAAAAAGTGTTTACATTACAGATCTTTACAGTAGTTTATTGGAATTAACCTAAGCTATTTTTTTATAATTAACTCAATAGCATCCATTCACTTCTACTTTAAGAATGCATTTCTTCGAAAATAAACTAAAATCAGTAAATAATAACACATCGTGTTTTTGAAATCGGGCCTGCTTGCATCGTAAAATATTAGATATTATGCTTTTTTGTGTCATTTAATGAATTATGAATCAAGATAAAATAGGCCGATTAAGTAGAACTATTTTAATAAACAACAATCTTTCTAAAAATGCTTTAATTCGGTTTTTCTTAATCTTAATTAGGGGAAACTAGTCCTTAACAGGAATTACGTTATCGTAATTAATTCTGTTTCCGTTTTCCGTGCGAATTAAACAAAATTGAAAAGAAGTTGGTCGCACATACATTAACATCACTCCCTGTGATGTAACACACCAATTAATTACGTTTTCACGAGGTTGAAGGAACCCTATTGAGTGTCCATTCGGACTGAGAGACTACGTTTGGAGATATGGGGTCATATGAAAATGCTTTAAAAAAATGGCAGTTATCTATACATAATATAACACTCGATAAAAGGAAGACGCCGTATAAATAACGTAAAATAATAAAACTCTATCCTAGTTTTTCAAGATTTTATTTATAGCCTAATCAATGTCTATCCTGAGTTTCAAGATCGAGTTGTATATAAAGCTGTGTGTTTTAAGCTGCTCAAAATTATTCTGTGCTTTTACAAAATGCTGAATTTTTGTAGAGTCTTTTAGGTAGGACAAATGTCATTCAAAATTCACTCATTCAAAATCTCCATACTGATACAAACAGACCATAGAACTCATATAAATCAATATACATTTGTGTTCAGAAGATTTCGATAAATCTTGTTTCATTGTTTTCTGTCAATAAACAAAAATACTACTTCCTCTGATTATAACAATGCAAAAGATAGGGAAGGCAGACTGAAGCATAATCAATAAAACGCAACATAAAATGTCATGTTATCATGTGTTTTGATAGCGCAGTAGGCAGAGCATCAGTGTCAGTGTTGTATTTATGCATTAACATGTTCGCATTAAGGTAAGGTACTACATTGTATTACATTTCAGTGTTTCATGTATCTTTTTCTCTTTTGACCGGTTTTGTTCCAAATACATGCACTTTCAAATGCTTGAAATAGAATACTTTCGTACATGGGTTGATGTAAAGTTTGGGGAAAATGTAAGTGATACGAAACTGACATTATTAGAAATGTAAAAAAAATATTATGAAATAAAATGTGTTACATATTGATCAATATATTCAAGTTAATGGTAATTTGTATCGTAGTGTGTTTAAAATAGTTTGATTTCTTAAGTGTTTAAAAAAATGAAATAAAATAAAAGTTATTTAATCACTTGAAATGTATTTGTTTTCCTTTATAAATAGGGGAACAAAGATGAAATAAAAATAAAATAAAAAAAGAGAATAAAATTTAGGATAACAAAATATATTCAAATGATCAATTATAAGAAAGACAAAGCAAATTAAAAAATAAAAGGAAAAACAACAACATCATAATTAGATGGCAGAGCGCAGAATTTGAACCTATGAGTGCATATCACTTAAAGTTACAGTGACGATGATTTACCAACTGAGTCACAACGAGGATACACATTCTCATTAGCATTAAACTACATGTACATGTATATACATATAGTTGTTGACACTTCCAATCTTGTTTAATAATGCCGAAATACCCGTTAATGGACTTTTCCAAGTAACATTGAGTCCAAATTATCACCCCGGGACAAGTCGTATTAATCGATATTTTATTCGAAGGCCTAGATTTGTACCTCAATATTACATGTTATAAAGTATTACGGACTTTCGAAAAGTGTTTATATTTACACCTCACATTGCCTTGTGACTTTATGGAAATATTGTTTGGCATTAATGACCTCATTAATGTTGGGGCGTTATTTGTATGTTTCCGTAATTTATAATGATTTACGCTTACGCTTCGGATTTGAATGATAGTTAATATCTCGATACTTTAATAAAGTAAATTGCATGATGGCTAAGTGTAAGAGCGACGGGATTGTGATTTAGTAGTTGCAAGTTCGAATCTTGGACATTTTCTTTTAGTTTTCACAAACTGATTTTTTTTAATTTCTTTTAGTTATATGAAACATGGGTTTATGAATAGTTTCTTTTAACTTCTATAATTTTTATTCAATATGTAAATCCGTACAATGAGTGATAAGCATGCATAAAACATAGTGGTCAAGTTTTGAAAAGTATAATAAAAAATATATAAGAAAACTTAAACAAATAAAAATCATTTATTTCGAACCTGCAATCTTCAATTTAAATTAAACTGAAACTCCTACATCCTGAAGCTAGTGAGGCAAGTTTGATACTGCTAATTCTAAGTTATACATATACCATTGTACAATACATTAAAATTCGCAATGTTTACTTCGGAATCCGATTATTACCGACAATATTACCAAACAATAGATCATCATTCTGGTAATATTACCAACATTTCTCAGGACAAGTAAACTATATCTGCTGATACTAGTATGCTAACATTATAAAGTGAACTAAAATAACATGTTTTCATTTCATCACAGTCTGTATAATCGTCGAGATAACTAAGTCACGTTACAATATCCGCTACATGATATTATTGATATGCGTACAGTGTTATTTTAACAGTTACCGTATTCAAGAACTCAAGTCAAAGATAAATTAAAAAAATAAATCAATTAAAAAATAAATCAAAGTATATTAAATTATTCAGTACGAAAACTCACATCTTTTAATGCTTTCAGAATCACTATCCCACAACCTTCTCCTCGAGCATATCCATCAGCATCCTTTGTAAATGTTTTGCACTGGCCAGTCGGTGAAAGCATTCCAGCCTTAGATAGAGCAACGAACAACTGTGGGTCCATGAGTATGTTAACTCCACCGCAAATACACAAATTGCATTTTCCTGTATATAAACGCTTTACTCGACATTAAATTGACAAAGGTGATTTAAAAGAAACTTCATATCAACCAATTAGAACTATCATTAGAATAATATCATTCCCAAAATAAAATAGAGAAGAAAAAGCATTTAATAAGCATTCAGGTAGCATACATATTGTTACATAAGTTATAAAATACCACCATGATGGTGTTATATAAAGTATAAATGTGAAAATGACAAAATTGATTTATTGAAAAGGAACTTTATGATTAAAAGCATTAGAGAAGACTGAAGTACACAATAACAATACCAACCAGTAACTAAAGCCTGTGAAGCTATGTCGATTGCAACCAATGACGAAGAACAAGCAGTGTCTAAAGTCATTGAAGGGCCTAATAAATTATACGTGTAAGACACTCTGGCACTAATGACGCTGTTTTGTGTACCTGTCACAGAGTATGTACTGCTAGCAGAGCTGTCATCCATCACGAAACTTTTGTAGTCATCCGTCATTGACCCTTTAAAAGGAATTATGGTATATATAAGTAGAAAGTTTTAGGTAGAGATATTATGATATTATCAAATACATTATGATAATGCAAACAAATTTCTCGAATTCTGATTGTCTTAAATACTTTAATAACTTTTTATTTCTACATCGCAGACGGTTAACGATATGTGCGCATTAAACTCATTATTGCGTTTTGTTCTTAAGGTCATTTCTCCGCTTCAAAAACCATTATATTATATTAGTTTTGCAAGTTGTTGACGGATATTCGAGAGAATTAATTTGAAATTATTTTCAATTTTTCTCGCAATTTTTTGTTTGTATGTTTTTAAAAATATTTTATAAAACAATGATTTTTACGTGCCAGACCTAATCAAATAGAAAATTGTTCATTAAAATGCATTTCGAACGTTTATGCATAGATGAAACATATTTCACATATTTAAATTTGTATCGATAAACCAGCAGGAGATTGCTATATAATTATTGTCCATGAAAATGCAGAAAAATCTCCTAATAAACCTTGCCGTCTAATAAATCAACAGTTAAGGTAAACTTTATACTTGTATGCTAAGCTATGTTATTTGATAATTCCGAAGGTGATTTTTCTCGTATTATGGTATAGCGCTTGTCTGCCAGTCTATCAGTGCTTTCATTGAGTTTTATGTTACAATGGGAAAAATAAATAACATAAATTTTCTTTGATGCTTTTTAATTTGTAAGGATTTTATGAGGGTTAACTAAATATGGTTTCATCGGGATGACAAGAACTGTGAGGTAACCACCTAAAACCCAAATATCACAATGTTTTAAATAAGCTGTGCGTCCGTTGGCCACATCAATGTCCTTTTAAAAACTTAATAAGTGTTAGGAGATCTCTCTTTATTATTACTACGAAGATTGGCCATGGCAAGAAGATGACCTAAATAGATTTTATGGTCAGTCAATTTAAGATCAAGATGTTCCACCTATTTTACACGGATACCGTCTTTTCATGTTATTTCATTTACATTGTTTAAAGTTTAAAAACATGGTTTAAGGTTTAAAAACATAATATCAAAGTTCATTTATAAAACAGACATAAATGCATTTGATTGGGTCTTTAGTGACACTGACGCTGCAAATGTCATAATAAAGGCTACACAGGTCATATAATGGAGATCCTGGAAGGAGGAAGACCCTCGAGAACATTAAAAGTAGCGATAAATTATTTAAAAGTTTGACCTTTAATCAAAGCTTCTATGTGCAACATACTGCTTCATACTTTCTTACCTATATAAACACCCGTTTGTGTTCCATCAATATCCTGTCTAGTTATCCCACCATCTTCTAATGCCATGTGTACACAATCTAAAACAATTCTCTGCTGAGGATCCACAAGTTCTGCCTCCATATCATTGATACCATAAAAACGATGGTCCCATTCGTCAAAACTTTAAATGTAAAAACAAACGGTCAAACCTTTGAATAAAGGCAATCCAAAGGAAATGCCATGTTTTTGTAAAGACAATTGAGCTCTCGGAGTTAAATCTGTTGTATTTTTATCAAAGATTGGTATTCACATGTTGGTCTGTATTCATAGGTGTTTTAAAAAAAGACAAAAGGAAAGGAGCTAAAAGTGTAAACATGAAAGTTGGTGACAACGTCTTATTGAAGAAAAAGAAAGAAAACAAAATTACCACACCATTTCCTCACAAGCCAGGTATTGTGGTCAACAAAACAGGATCTATGATTACTGTTAAACACGGGGATAAATTTATTACACGAGACGTTTCGCCTTTCAAACCAATCTGGAAACCACCATCAATGGCACAACAACCACAGGTTCAATTTTCACCGCCAGAGCCTGTATCTCAAAACCACCGAAACCGCAAGACTAACCACATCCTATACACCAGAGACCAAAACGAACCATAAGCAAACCTTTACGCTATCGTTAATTTGGGTTTAACTGTTCTCACGTACTGGAGCCGTAATTTTGTTGTACAGTATCCTTAACTTAAGCACAGATTCTGTGAACTTGATAATCAGTGATTCATTTTGTATAATTTCATTCATAAAACAATGGAATTTGTTAACAACGTAATCAGAACATAATGGAAATTAAATTAAAAGCAGACCTAATGGGAAATACCAAGTAATTACTTATAATTTGACAGCCAGAGACATTACAGACTTGCCACCCAGTGATAATTACACTTTGGATATCATATTACTTTTATAAGTTTGATAACGAATGAACTAATAGTTTTGTTTTGATAACTTTTCACATTAATAAATATCAAATCTACGTGAGAAAGAACTTTTAGAATTGATGACAGAAACGAAATGACATTTTAATGTTTTATTATTTCAAGATGATTAGATTTTAATACACGAAGCAAAGATGGGACTATCAAAGATTTTAATGTAGACTATCAAAGATTTTAATGTAGACTTATTATGATTATTGATGAAACAGTTTCATACAAATTTTATATACTATCATCTATAAACTTCATAGTATTATTTCAGAAATTGATTTTCAATTTTATAAAGAATAGATGGGATGTAGTATCCATACAATATATGATGACGTAGATATATGTATCATGTTACATAGCCACTCTGTATCAGCCTCTTAAATACCAAGAGTGTACAATAGCCGCTCGTAGTGAATAAACGAATAAAACATACACTGTGTTACTTACTGGGTTCTCGGCCCCCAGGGACATATAGCAGATATTACACCCACTTTGTATATGTGTTTAGATCAATAAAATACATTTATGGCAGATTTCACTTATTCTAAAGATATATAGATATATTTTTAAAGCTGTATTAAACGAAATCATGAATGTTATTCAGTTTAAACAAAAATAAAGAAATAAGTTACACATATTAAGAGAAGGTCACCCAGTTTGCAACATATTTTTTCTCTTTTCGTTAAAATTAGGTGATGAAAACTAGAAAGAAATGCATTAAAGCCAGAATTTATAGCATGAGTGAGTTAGAAAATAAATAATTTCATGTTAAATTTCAATTGATTTAAAAAACTGTGAAAAAATTAGCCAACGTAAATATACTTGAATATTTAGAGATTTGGCGGCCATCTTTGACGCCATCTTGGATATCTTAGTTTCGCATTGGGGTCGGGTCAAATGAATATCCATTCCAGAAACTAAAGATCCAGACGAACATTTAGGTATATGAAACTTGCTGTTGGCTGACATAGACCACTTACCTCTCTAAATAGGCTAGTAAAATAGGTTGATTTGCAGCACTATTTATTCACATGTTGGTCTGTACAATGTATTCATAGGTGTTTTAAAAACAGGTTTGAATGTATATCATTAGATACAGAATTAACTTTAGTTCGATTATGTAGAAAGTTGATAGCTTATAGACACACCCTCGAATCCGTTCCTAGATCCAACCATTATTGAGCAGTGAGTGTAAAGTTTTTTGCTCAAGGAAACAACGGCTCGTCCCTGATGGGGAATAGAACCCACGCAGATAAAACAATTTAATGTAAAGAAATAATGCTGTCATTCCTTTCAAATATTTAATCTTTACTTGACACATATATGTACTATTATACACTTTATATTTAATGATATAGCTTTGAATTTTATCAAACTATAAATGCACTGGAAAAAAACAGATACTACTATCTTTCTCAGTATACTTAAAGCATCGACTTCAATGTATTTTTGCTTTTAAAATTTGAAATGTTAAAATGTTGTAATTGGATATTTTTGGCGAAGCAGCACAGTACATGTAGCTATTTCTTTACTCAAAAGCTTTGGCGTCGAAAATAATTAAGCACACGCGGATTGTAAATTGAGACAGAAAGGTACATGCTGTGCTACGCTCTTGTGCACAATATCAATACCTAAGCGATACAATTTAACTTGCCATGTGTGCACTATTCAACCGATTGGGCGTTTTAAGTATTTTAACACAATTTGACGTCACCATCGATATTGGATTAAAAGAAATTTTATGTAAAAAAATATACTAAGCGTATGTTTTCTCAAACAAGTTTATTGCAACAATGGCATGTGCTTATGTTCTTTGCGACAGTAGAGTTTACATTTTGTTGTACAATACATATATGTAAGGATTGTGGTAGTTTATTTATTACCTTTTAAAAATGTCATTATTATTTCAAGTTTGCCACATAAGTAATGCTCTAACAATTTTTTTCTGATCTTCGAGAATATGCCATAACAAAAATAAATTATATGTGTTCTTACATAACAAAATCTTACTTGTTAACGAATCCTGCAGTGCGGACATACGTTTTTCCAGTTTTGTTACGATCAGGGTCGTAGAAAGCATCAACATTCCATCTGTCTCTAGGGACTTCCTTCACATGATTTTCTCCGTTTTTTAAAACCCGCCAATACTCCTGGATATTGTTTGCCCAGGAAATCTACAGCCGACTCCTACTATAGCGACACTCTCATAATTTGCCATTGCTCTATTATTGTTTATTCATTTGTAGATCCATCTCCTTAAATCTATAGCAAGCGCGTTTATGACTTGCATAATTTTCCTATAAAAGTAGTTCACACAAACAGCTGTATTTGCAACTTAATAAATCTGATTATTTATCTTAAAAATAAAATCACAATGTTAAATCGCTTATCAAATGTTATGTGACTGATTTAAACAAATATATCTACATGTAGTTTTATTACATTAACTATAAATGAATGACTTTGAAATATTTTTTGGTAAAAATAACAGGTCAGTATCTCAGCATATTTGCCGTTAATCTGAAAATAACTTTCGGAACATAATTCATGTGCTTTATTTTCTTTGTTTTATTTTTGTTTGTTTGTTTTTTTTTTGTTTGTTTTTGTTTTGTTTTTTCGAAAAAAGATTTTCTTGAAATCTCCACCATAGAAATGTATTTATAAGTCGGTACTTCCCAGAATATTAACAGTTTCAATGTCATTTCCGAATATTACGGAAAATTATTTCAGAATATGAGGAAATTCTACATTTCTACAATGTTTGTTGAATGTTTATTATGAAAGTTGATGCGATTCGGATGCGTTCTTTTGACATATAATTATGAAAAATTAAAATAGACTCAAGACATGCTGCCTTGAGTTGCAATCAATGGAGTTTGAAAAAAAGTGTTTCTAGATCACATAACAAAAAATGGAATCTCTAGACAACTCGATAGAAATGAAAATGTTGAAGACGGGGTCTGATTGAAACTGTTCATGTACGGTACTGGAAATGTCAAACTGCCGTAACTCTTCTAAGCACCAGCTTAAACAGAATTCACGATTTAAACATAAAAATAATGAGAATTTGAACTTGTTCTTACTGAGGTAATCAGAGAACCTACATCTATGGTATTTTAGGCGGATAAATATGGTGTGAAACATTTTCGACAATATCAATATCTTTTAATATTTTATCGCACAAAAGTTACAAGCTAAAATGTCCATATTTGTATCTTCTGAATGTTTTATCTATTTTGTAAAGTAAAGCAATAAAAAAATCACTAACAAATATATTTATACATACCTTGTATATGAGCTTGACATCGGTTATGATCAAATTCTAACAGCATAGTGTTTTTATAGACACACACCATGCAAAAAATACCAGAAATAATTTATTTATCCTCAAGACGATTCTGAGTGGTTGCCAAAACACCTCAGCAGAAACATGCTGATTATGAATGACGTTTATTTGTTTCGCCCAACCGGATTTAAATTTTGGTTTGATGAAATTCCCCTTGTATTTCAAAGAATAAAACAACGAATGCATAAATTTAGGTTGCATTTATCTGTTATTTATCACCTTAAGTGTACAAAAACACAATTTTGAGCCCACACGCTCCATCACATGCGTTATATCACGTATCTGAAGTGGGCATGCATAATATGATTTACAGAATTGTGAGTTGTATCATAAAGGTATCGAAAAGTTACCTCTGTATAAACATTTGTCAGCATTATTAATTTCATCCATTTAAAAAGATAAATTGGAATATAAAGACTGATAACTGTTTTTAAACTTATAGTTTGTAGTATCGAGAAATGGTGAGAAGAACTTAATGTGTATTTGATAAAATCGTGAGTATTTTAATCTCTCTTTTTTATCATACTTTTATGATAGAACATTATAGTTTGTTTTTTTCATAGGTTAACTTGTATATTTAGTTTATGAATAAAGGTTTCATCAATTTAATTAACATGCTCATTGTTCTTTTTTCAGATCAATCTGAATAGTTTTGCTTCAATACGATGTTTATATGGATATTTTGAATTTAACATTCACATACAAATTAATTTCATAGTATCTAATTTTCATTAACCTAGAATGTGTATGCATAATATGATGTAAACGTAAGCTTTAATAACTTTGTATAATTTCTATTGAATAGTATGTCATGACATATAATGATTTTGTTACAGGAATGCTTTTATTTTATTTCTGAACAGTTTTGTTTTAAATTTCTAGTGTACTTTTAAGGTCAATTAAAGGCAAGTAGTATAGTTACAGTGATTTTGTATTTTGTATGGAACTCAAAATACTACTTGGTTTATTATGACAAATAAGTTCGTAGTTACAGCTTTTTCTTTAGGTAACAAGCATCTTATATGTTCTAAAGCAATCATTTAAAAGTTGTAAAACACATGTTTGCTCTTCTAAAGAATTAAAAATTAAATTGGTTCGTTTTTAGGCCTTTACCTTTAACTATAGTGTAATATTGTTATATATTCAATAACCTAATATATTTATGGCAGAAAAGTATTAATGTAGTAGAAAGTTGAATTGATAATAAGAGATATTGCACTTTTGAACAGACACAACCAAACTAAGTCTGCATTTATCACATAGTTACCATTGTTTTTAATTCAAGGTTTCCATATTTATTTGCAATCGTAATATGAAATGCCTTTTCAATTGGTCATATTTTCTTAGGAATAGATATCATTTTTGAGTGCCTTGTTGTAGAGTAATGCACGGTTCGAGTTCAGTGCGCTGGAATATAATCACGAAGGCCGATAGGTCTCAGTGATAAATTACAAGCATATGGACCCCGTTGTTCAAAACATTGGTCAGTAATTGGTTTGATTTTATTAACTTGTAGTGTAACGCCCAGATCTGAATAACTCAATATGAATAAGTCAACACAATATCAAGTTTATAAACGTCAGATATATGTATTTATTTAATATAAAATATTATTCTATAAGATAAAACAATTGCTTAACCAATGTCTTTAACAATTTCACAATTCTTAAACAAATACGTAAAACAATAAAAATCAATGTCAACTGCGTATTTAGCATAATTTAACCTAAGTGAGTGAGTCTGTTTAACATCAAAAACTACACTGAAGAATATAATATTTTGCTCACCTTAAATACTAAAATATTATACGCCTTAAACTTTATACCTTCATAATTCATAAATGCAAATATGCGTTTCCGGACAGCTAACAATTAAATAAACAATTATGTTTGCACGCTATAGGTACAAATCCCCGCTTAGGTGATGACATGCCCATCAATTAACTAAATTAGGCATATCCTTTTCGAGTGTCCGGTGACAGCTCATTATATTTAATATATCCGCCTATGTATTGTTGACTAATTACCGGCTAATTAATAACCACATTATCATGATAACGTGACAGAGCGTAGGGTTCGAACCTATGAGTGCAAACTATAACAAGTTACGGTAACATTGATATACCAACTGAGCCACTTCGATGGTATACAGAATTATGACATTTCCAAATCAAATGATATGCAGACTAACCCTTTAATGGACTTTCCCACGTACCGTAAAGACCACATTATCTTCCGAGGACAATAATTATGCTGAGCTTTATTGCGCAATAGGGTAAATAACTGGTTCCTTATTTGTAATTGAAAACGAGACCGAGTAGGTCCATATTTGTTTTTTTTGTTTTTGTTTTTTTTTATATTTTTAACACTAAGGAAGCCATTATTGTTTTTATGTTGTATATCTTGTTTCAATATGTTTTGCAAATTTTGTGGTAAAGTCTCTGTTTAAATAAACTTGTTTGAGAATTATTGTTTAAAATTCGTTTGGATCAAACTCAATTAATGTCGTAAAACACAATACAAATCGAAACAAATCAGTGTTTCTGAGAAAGAGTAGGTCTAAAATAATATTAACAGTACGGATCGAACCACAGACCTCTCATATATAAGGCAATTGACCGACTGCGCTATTGCGATTGTGCCGACGACCTATATATTAAGGTGTGACTTTTCAAAACATTAGTTAAATACTTCATATAAATTATCGGAGGCCTGGACCAATAATTTGTGATCAAAGCGTCATCCCGCTTTTTTCAGAATCATCATTTTTATTGTGCGAAATTACTTAAAAACGTAAAGCGTTTACCCTAAACGGGCTAAGAATGGCATTTATTTATGAGCATAATTCTTTATTATACCTTTAGATTTTTTTCATTTTCAGTAATTTGATTTGATTGTAAATGGAGTTAAAAAGAAAAAAGAAAACTTACAAACCATTCTGTGAATTAGTTATTAATATTTCATTTTTGCCATAGATTTGTGTCGCTTCGCATTGCCGATCATCGTCTTCCATTGTCGCGTTGACACCCAGGTTGGTTTGTTGTTTGGTTGGTTTTCTGTTATTGCACTAATTTTAAAACATTTTACAGTGATTTTGGTGAGTTGACAATGTGCGAATGTGTATTATACCTCTAAAAAATATATCTACATCCATTTATTTAAGACAACATAAAATAGTTTGTTTAATTGTTTAAAGTGTCCTCCATTTTATTGTAAACCGAAATTTCCACAAAATATAAATAATTAAACAACAACAGTATTTACTGAAATTTCAATGTTGCCATGTTTTTAAATGTAATATTCAGTTCCACAGTTTCTTTTCTTTCATAAAATCTTGATAAATAATATTAAAAACTGTATGGTCTGAATTTTCTTATAAATGCATATATTAATGCAAATATGGAATGTATGAATGATTGCGATATTTACGATATCATTGTAAAATTCCGTGAGAAATCGGGTCGCCTCTACAGAATAGCGACATATACGGATCACTTCTCTGTCTGACTGTCTGTCTGTCTGTCCGTCCGTCACAAAACATGTTGTCGAGACAACTCCACAGAAACTACAAGAGCAATTTCATTCAAACTTTACAGGAATGATCAGTACAAAGTAAAGGTTGTATACGTCGTATGCTTTTCTCCGGTTCACTGATTTTCGTCATAGTTATGGCCCTTTTATGATTTTAATTTTTAAAGTTCATCCGGACTACTCCTCTTACACAACTTATGCAGTTCAGTGAATTTTTACGAATTGATTGATAGCTCAAGTGCTTGCGCCTATTAAACGGGTTTTTTTTGCTCGGATTATTTTTGGCTGAGTTATGGCCCTTGAATACAAGGTGTGTCTTTTTGTGTTGCCAGTTAAATAGAAGCTTGTCCGGACTCCTTCTTAGGAACTGCTGGTGCAATTACATCCAAATTTTACAGGAATGATCATGACTAAGTCTAGTTGTGCATAGTATTGGTATTTCAAGGTTTTTGATTTTTGTCAGAGTTATGGCCCTTAAATGATTTTTTTTCAAACGTTTTTAAGTTTTGTTTAGACTACTTCTCTCCTACTTATGCAATTAAAATCAAACTTTTCATAAAGGTATAGGTACCGCAACTTCGGAAGTACATAGCTATATATAGAGAGTTTTTCGGTTTAATAATATTTGGCTGAGTTATAGCCCTTGAATAAAAAATGCGATTAGCCATATTAACGTAATTGTGTCTTCTGCTACACAGTAGCTGCAACATAAAAATGACTTTCATATACGATTATACTTTATTTACATCATTTTATTACATTATGAAACACTTAATTGCATTCTATATTTAAAACACATATTTACGAGAAACAGAACAGAGTGTCAGATATACTGGCTACTGCTCAACCTTTTCTATTTATAAAGTGTAAAAAGTTATATATCTGTTGCAAATAGTTTTAAAATTATTTGCCTGAATATTTCTAAGAATATTAAAAAAAACATTTGTATATTTTCTTAAAAACCCATTCTGCCTAAACAATGCTCTTATTTTTATTCTCAAACCTTTTATTTTTGATGTCTTGTTAGTATCTGACAAGTTTCTCAATTCCCAATAACCTCAACCATCTTTTGTCTCTGTTACCTTTGTTATACATACGGTTTTAGTGCTTAAGTATTTTGCATTGAAGTCAAAATACTACTTCAATCGACCTCAAAGCTATAGAAACAACATAGTAAATGTTAATAAAGTAATTCAGCACATAAAGTGTTTTACCCTTTAATCTCATATTTTCTGCAATGCTCCCCGCATGCATGAAGACGACATAATTTAATCATGCACCCAATTATACTTGTACCATTTTAATAAAGCTCATATTGTTAACGTGTTAATTTTTAAGTAATTGTTTTTACTACCTGCATCGATTAACATATTCCTTATTTCTAATCGTCTGTGGATACGATACAAAAAATTTAACATTTAACCTTTTAGAAAAACAGAACTATTAAGTGCACTGTATGCTTTGACTTGCTTGCAAACTCATAGTTTTAATTCTAACTTACAAGATCGAGTTATAACCTTGTTTAGATAACGGTTACTTTCTTTTCATGTACATATTTTGAAGTGGGATTATCTCTTTTATGGCTTACAAGGAGGTGTTAAGCTTTTTTGTTAATAAACTGAATAATTCATTCAAAATTGGTTTTGTTATTTTACAGTTTTAGTGCTGAAATGGAAGTCAAAATACTACTTGTTTAAATACATACTTTTATGTCAAACAATTTCAGTTTCTGCGCTACTTGATAAACATTTAAGATTTTCTAAACCCATTTTCTAAATGATGTAAAAGTCATTTTGCCCTTCCTGAAGAAGGAAAAACAATATTCGTTTTTGAGGCATAATGTGCTTTAAGAGAGAATTGATTTTTAATAGTTCCGTTTGTTATTTCTATTATTATCAACTTTCGGTTTCACAAACAGTTTGTTTAAATCTCTGAATATTATACTGTCATTTTCAATGTATCCTTGTTATTGAATACCATATAAAAATTCTATATACTTTATCTTCAATTATTGTGGTCTCTCCTACGAAAGCTTTTCCTATATATTTGCAGAGTCGTTAAATTCATTTTTTTAAAAAAGCTTTATATCTTCAATCCATTTTTTCCCCACTTAAAAGTAAAAAACTAAGCGATTGAAGAACGGTGCACTTGTTAATCATGTATTAAATAAAATTTTGACAGCAATAAAGTAAGCTACTTCTCACACTTGAAATGAATGATGAATACGCTGTTATGACTCATAACTTGTTAAACGAGTACTTAGTAAAAATCAGGGATCTTTGTGACACTTTTATGATACATTTGATAATTTAGAACATTTTAGAAAAAATCGATTAGACAATATATGGATTTAGACTGGCATATCTTATCTTTTAAACGTGTACAGGCTAATCTCCAATCATGCCAACTGCGATGACAAAGCACATGTCCCACGTTTTACGATGTTTTTAGTTAGATATATGGTTTAAACCTGTAATTGCATATCAATAATTGTCATTGATATTTATTGTTTGCAAACAAAGTGTCATGTAATAAACAAGTTTGCAAACAAAGTGTCATGTTATAAACAAAAACCAGGACAATAAATTAAGACGTAATCGTTATTAGTCTGGAATTTTGAACAAAAAAATCAAATCATCGTCATTGTGTAAGAGGTTGATATAAGATTTAGTGGAATAATTTTATCCAAAAAGTATCACGTTATGTAACTTAATCGGTGAGAGTTAAGAATAGGTTCAAATATTAACATAATAAGAAGGGTATTCATGTGTAAAATATAATGGCAAGATGCAGTTTTCAGTAAAATTTTCATGACACCATTCGGTCTTTAAAGAAATTCACCAGCTACTCTCTTGTATACCAATATACCTCTTCTGCTACATTTCCCCTGGTTAAATTAGCCTTACCGTAAGAAATTAAGGACAAGAAGGCTAAGCTAAACCGGCAACTTAGCAACAAATGCAAATAATATGGTTTTAGAATATTTCAAATTTGATTATAATTTTATGCCAGTTGGCATTCTTTAAATTATTCTGATTTTCAGACATGTTTTTCTATCATTATATTTACGAAAAGGTCTTTGTTTTCCAGTGGATGACACATGTAACATAGAAACATCCTCCGCCTTGTTTATATAAAAATCACGTGGTACACTTTCATTCCATATTATTTCCGAGATGGTTATGATAATCGTCAGGGTATTCCGATGAGTTTAATTGCCTGACTGAGTTTATAAACAAAACAACTACTTTATTGTTTTCGTGGATATTAAATTTAAAAAAAAACGATGATGATGTCTTTGACTGAGCAATTTTATACGGTTTTTGATTCATTTATCACAGGCAATATTATTCTGCTTAAACTTATTTCAAGTGATATTAATATACAGGAGGGCACTCCTTTTCATTGAAGATGTCATTGTCAGTGGAAAGGTCATTAATCCAAATTTGTTACAGGTGTGGCTGAATTTTGAACAGATATTAATAGGAAACACTTTAAGCCCTTTAAAACTTTAAGCTTTATAGATATGTTTTATAACTGCAAAACTCTGATTATCAAACCACGTGAGGAATATTTTTGTTTCACGGTTATGTTTTTAATTCTTTTTTAAACTGAACATGCGTCGCAACAAACGTTTAGCTTGTACATTAAATTTGTAATACATTATTACATCATAAATCCTTTTTTAAATAAACTTGGTGATGAATTTATTTTCTGTCATTTATTTTCTTCTTTCGTGCCTTTACCAGATGAAATAATCAATTGCCATCAGTTAAGTTATTTATCTTATCTTAAATGACTTCTTGCATGCTTCTTTTCAAAGATACTAAGTACTTACAAACTTACAATGTTAAGTAAGATAAAAAAAAAACAACGGAAGTGTCATCAAGCACATGCATTTTGCTCACCAGACTACAGTGGAACTTACTTTTTGCGAACTCTGATACAGCGTACACTTAGTTATAAGAAACACTTTCGTTTGGTCTCGATTTTCTCTTCTTTATCTTATTGAAAAATTTTGTTTACTGTAGATAAGTTATTTATAAGATACAACTTCCTGATATTGTTTACAAGAGATATGGAAAACTAAATGTTATGGTCCTAAGGAGTTTTTTATACCCGAGTTTCACTGTAGTTGCTTTTTAGCGTTCGTAATATTGAGCTTAACATTTCACAATGAATATATTAGAATGTATAAAATATAAGCTTTAGTTATATAATCACATTTGATACATTTTCATCGATTGCATAGACCAACAATAATCGAATTATGCTTGTTTGTATTTTATGTAGGGATACAATCCAAAATGGCAAACCATTTCAATACCTGCTACGATAAGGTCGAAAACGGGATAGGTGGCATATTTTCACGCTATGGTCGTTTCGTAGCGAGGCACCCTTGGAAGATAATTCTGACTGGATTTATATTTAACGGACTTCTTGGCATTGGAATGTTTAAACTTAATATTGTTATAGATGTCGAACGGGTTTATACACCGATTGGAAGTCAAGCTAGCAAGGACAGTGACAAAGTTAGTGATATTTTTCCCGACCTGAGCGGCACCAATTTCATTGGATATCAGATGCCGAAGTTTGGTCGGTACGGTGAGGTAATCGTCATCCCAAAGAGCGGCAACATTCTTGATGGAGAGTTTCTCACTCAGCTAAAAGAACTCTATTATTTCTTGTTATCAATAGATACTACTGATGAAAATAAGAAAACGGTCACATTAAACGAAATTTGCGCTAGGTCGTACGGAAATTGCAGTATCGACGGGGATGTTTTTGTAGATACACAGTTTATTGAAGAAGTAAATTCGAGTTCTGATATTCCTTTTCCTTATTTCAACCATTCGTCTCGTGGTCAAATTTATTATGAACAAATAGTTGGTGGCTTTAATATTTCATCAAACACCCTAGTATCTGCAAAAATGTTAATCATGCGAGTGAATTTGCGTACGGACTCTGACTATTTTACAGAAACTGCAAAGAATTGGCAAAACTCATTTCTGGCAAAGATAAAAGAGTTCTCTTCAAACCATTTTGATATCTCGTATTCACATTCAGATTCTTTAAGTGAAGAACTAAATGAAAATGTGTCAGGTGACATTCTGATATTTTCAATAACTTTTACAATAATGATTACCTACGCATGCATAGCAACAATGACAGCCCGATGTGACGTAGTTGGTCAAAGGTCAAATTTGGGATTTGCTGGTGTTATTGCAGCTGGTCTAGCGATAGTTGCTGCTTTCGGTCTTGGTAGTGCATGCGGGGTAGAATTTGTCAGTATTGTCGGAGTTGTCCCATTTCTTATTATTGGTATGCCAAATAATAATCTTTATAAAGTGATTCTTTTTTTTATTAAACGCTGTGAATACATCCTGGTGATAACTCTGAACATTTATGTTTAGTATGAGACATATGACCAAAGCAAGGAGTTAAATTAAATTTTGCTAATAAATGAATTAGCATTTTTGAAGTATGTCGTACATCAACACAGAATTTAAAGATATCAATCAATAATCACTGAGTATAATCTGTTTGATGCAAGACACAATATAATTTTCTTTTATTATTAAGGTATTGGAGTTGATGACATGTTTATGCTTATGTCTGGTATTACAAGCACCAACTACGAAGACGATGTTGAAACAAGGGTTGGAGAAACAATGAGAACCAGTGGTGTATCAATCACAATCACTTCTCTCACAGACTTGCTAGCCTTTGCTGCTGGAGCTTCTTCTGTATTTCTTAGCGTTCGAAACTTCTGTATTTACTGTGGTGCGTATTTAATTATTTATTTCATGAATTTCTTTCAGAGAATTCTAGAATCTGATAAAAAAATTAGCAAATATTTAGATAAGAATCTAAAATTACAGTCATTGTGGCTCGCATTATCAAACTGATACTCGTACAGAATAAAAAAAACGGTTACTTTTATATATTACATCTGAAATACTTGTAGTTACAAACAATACGATTCTTTTAATAAATATATAAATGCATTATTTTATTTGAGTTGTTATATAAATATGATTTTACTATAAAGTCATAAAATTCTACGAGCATACCCTTAGGGAAGCACGTTTCAAAATCAATTTTAATTTTGTTTAACGAAACTTTAATAAGTATTCTGAAAAAAATGGTAACAATGTCAGATTAAGAAATAAGGCGGTCCAACATAGCATTGAGTATTTAAAATTCACACATATTGCCTGAAACGTGTCGAAATATTTTTATAAAGTCCGTAGAAAAACGCCCAGTTTCAGTGACCTTTTGAAAAGGCAATATATTTCGGAGTATATTTTATGGTGATGCTGTTTATATGAATTTATATTTCTGTTCAGTTTCTCGAAAGCTACAACAATTTACATACGTCAGTGTAGTTTCAACAACCTTGTCAGAAATAAAGAGTGCATGTTTAACCTGAAAATCCCATTCGTCCGTTATTCATTACTTCTAACACTAGCAGAAAATAACATGGTTGTCGCGATTTGTTTGCTTTCCTATAATTGTTCACTTGTGTTCTCCCTGCATATACATATGGTAATTCAGACATACAAATGAGAACAAAGATCAGCAAGGCAATGATACATTTCAGTAAATAAAGGTGCACTCTTCCCTCAAATTTCAAAGTCAACATTTGCAGGCAATCACTTAATTTGTTAAAACAGGTGTCAATATAAATACAACTTTAGATTTAGACATACGATTAAAAGAATATCATTTATTGATAACCGCAATGTTACCCAACCCCTAGTATTTCATACATTTTCTTATTGTGTAAGAATATTAAATAATGTGTCACCATCCTTATTTTTCTAACTGCGTAAACATACAATATGTTTCGTTCAATTGTTGCCTAATGTCACTAGGTTACCAGTGAAATATGGCCTGCTCATTTTTAAAGTAAATATAAGGAGATCTTGGTTGTCTGTGATTACCGGTAATTTTGTGAAAAAATATGTTTACACTGTAGGCGTGCAGCCTTAATATCCGATTTATCTTTATTTATGCAAATTATTTGATTTCGTTTCAGGTATAGCGGTAGTATTTTGTTACATTAACCAGGCAACGATTTTTCTTGCGTGTATCGCAGTCAATGAAAATAGGACATATGACAACAAACATTATGCTACATGTTTGAAAATCAAAATACCCGGTGAAGAAGATGCAAATATGCCAAAGTGCCGATTGCTTTGTTGTACAGGCCGGAAACCCAAGAATCAGTCTGAATCTGAAAGTTATTTAGATAAAGTTCCCAGGTGGTTGATACCCAAAATGATTACACCAATATCAGCCAAGATAATTATTTTTGGTCTTTTTGCTGGATACTTAGGGGTTTCAGCTTGGGGTGTCACTCAAATGGAACAAGGCTTAGAGCTTCAAAATCTTGTCGCAAAAACATCATATTATTATCAATACAGGGAGCACTTAGATAATAATTTTCCTTTGGGAACTTCGATTTCTCTTGTTTTTGATAAAACAATGACTTATTCGGATGTTTCAGTTCAAGCCGATATTACTTCTCTTTTGACGGATCTCAAAACGAAAAGTACAGTTCAAGACTATATTGAAATAAACTGGCTGTCTGAATATAAAAATGACGCTACAAACTATAACAATTCAACAGAGAAAAATTTCATATTAGGCCTACGTGATTTTTTGAGTATGCCTAGCAACACACGATTTCAAAATGATGTTGTGATCAATCGCAGCAACACTAGTATAACGGTCTGTAGGATTCACTTAATGTCTAAAAGTATCAAGAAATCACAGGAACAAGGAAAATTCATGCTGAGCATGCGAGAAATGGTGTCGGATAGCTCACTTTCAGTTTTTGTTTTTTCTCCAGCTTTTCTGTTCTATGAGCAATATGTTACCATTTTGTCTCAGACATTACAAACTGTCGGGATTGCTGTTGCTATGGTATTTTTCGTTACCTGTATATTCATGCCACATCCACTGTTGCTTTTATATATAACAACAACTGTTGCCATGATTACTCTCGGAATCTTCGGATTTCTTTCATTTTTAGGCCTTACTTTAAGTGCGATTACAATGATTCACATTATAATGAGCATCGGTTTCTCTGTAGACTTTGCAGCACATATTTGTCACGGTTATATGATTTCAAGCGGTGATGACCGAAATAAAAAAATGATATCCGGAATTGTTCGATCCGGAGCTCCGATTTTTCATGGAGCAATATCATCGTTGTTGGGTGTTGTCATGTTAGCAGCAGCCAAATCATATATATTTTATTCTTTTTTCCAAGTCATGAGCCTTGTTATCACATTCGGGATTCTTCATGCTCTTTTTCTACTGCCTGTTATCTTGTCGCTGATAGGTCCTTTTTCATCTGTAACAGGGTCAAAGGTTGATTCAGAGTCAGAGAATTTAGACAGGAGAAGCGAAGCAGCACAAGCATATGATAATACATCTTTTCGAATACCCCGCCCGTCTGTGGATATGGACAATGGGTATACGTCTGAATGTAACAAAATCCCTATGGCAGATTTAAGTCAGAAAACCCCGTCTGCATCACACTCAACTCATACTTTTGCAGAAATCGGAAATTACGATTCCTTTAAACGACAACTTTAAAAGTAAAAAAGATAAATATCACCGTCTTGTCGAAACACAATATTCATTAATTTCATATTGATTTGCTTGCAAAAGCAAAATTTGAAATGAACTGCATTTCAGAGTACCAGTTGGATGTCACATATTTAAAATTAAAATTAGATTGATTAGGACGATGTACTACGGTGTCAATGTAAACCTTTTTGTCAGATCCTTTATGCAATTTCTCGGAAAAACTGTGGATACATATCAGCCAATTACAGCCGAGTATTACCTTTCGCTTAATCGTGTGCAGTACAAATGTGTCATTAATCGTGCAGTGATCAGTTTGAATTTGTTTCTGTGAATCCGTCATTAAATACTGTCATATGAAATCGGTACATTTGTGTTAATTACAGTTTAACTTTGTTGACGGGTAATATTTAAAACCTATATATATGTATATATGTATAGATATAGACAATACTATGTTACTCCGACAACATTCTGTAGAGTAAGAGTGACTGATTAAAATCACTTTCACTATACCAAAAGGGGTATAAAGATAAAGAAATTCATTTTGAATGTATAACAATGAAAGTAAGATTAAACATCTTATATATTGAATACACGTGGTATTTTAAAATTACATATATAATTTTATAGTCGATTGGTCTACAATAAGCACATTTCAATTGAAAAAAAAGTTCCAAGTTTAAATGTATTCAGCACATGAACAATATATATTTATGACAAAGACAATAAATGTAAACAAATACAAACAAACAAATATGTGCACAATAAAATTTATTTCAATAAGTATTTCAAATTTTGATATAACCCTAGAAATGAATCATCTGGATATGCTTACAAAATATTTCTTGAAAAGAAATGTTGATCTAATTCATGGTAATATAGCATGAAGATTTATATGATGAATAAATATATTCTATTCAGCTTTATGTAGATATGTAATATCAGATCATATGTGTCACACTTACTAACAACATCTTTATATTGTTCTTTTGTGATTTGTTGGCACGTATGATACAAAATATTGTCAGCAAAATTATAAAATGGTATTGCACTCCTTTCATTATGGACCAATTCACGTAAAATGTACATGGTTTATTGACGTCAAATCTGACGTCAGGATTATTATATGCCATGCATATAAGTATCGTTACAGTCCAATCTGTTTGAATGGGGAATAATGTGATGGAATAGTTTATTATGCACTGATATATACATTAATGATACTGCAGTTAATACTGTATAATATGTTCATTCACAATGTTGAGATATTGCTTGCATTACTAGTAAATGTATTATCATAATTATACAGGATGTGCTCTTCTGATTTAGAAAATAAAGATAGTATATTTTATTATTCTGGCTCTTTGTATATTACTGTAAAAAGATGATGAAGTACAAAATGCACTGACAACGGCCTGTGTGGTTAATTTCTACGCATATAATTTCACATGGGTGTTAAATACTCACCGCTAATATCAATGCTATCTTCATTCAACATCACGGACGTTTGAAATTAGTAATGCCACATATGCGTTTTCACGAAATCAACACTAAAAACATTGAAATTAAAATTCATCCATAATGATTATTTTAAATGTGTTCACAAGCTCGCATACAAGTTTGCTGATTTTCCGTAAAATGTTATACATAAATTAAAATTTTATTGTTCAATAAAGTGGGATTATCTCGACCTTCGTTTACAAGTTGACGAGGAAAATAAATGACATAAATCCCTAAATTAAGTTTTTCATTAAATGATAATGCATTTGACATGAGGTATGTACAGAGATGGTTTTGCATCGAAACGAAGTTAATTCTAAAGAAAAAACAAACTTTAATTACAGGGTTTTATCTATGCCTTTCAATGAAACATGTAATATAGTGTTCAAATATGAAAGCATCTAGAGTGTTATATTGTTACAGAATGAAAACTTGAGGAAATGAAGTTCGGGAAGATAAACAACATTAAATTCCGTTCACTTTAGCTGTGTTCATAACTCACTATACATTTTTTACTCGTATACTGTAATACACAAATTTTTGCTGGTAGAAAATCAGAGTAGGCCATGAAAATACGGCCGTTGTCTCCTGTAGATATTTTTGATAAAATCTGTTCTGTATATGGACAAATGAAATGTATTTTTATCAATTATTCGTTGGTTTAAAACATTCAAATGGTGGTTAATTTGACCAAAGATGCACACCATGCCGAACGGCCTAAAACTGCAACGTCTGAAGAGAAGGTCCCTAAAATGAAAGAAATTGTTTATATAGATGTCAGATACAGTATTAGGCAAATAGCTAATATCGTTGGCATCTCAAAAGGAGCAGCTCATACCATTTTCAAACATGATTTGAAAATGAATACGATCTGTGTTAGATAGATTCCCATTTGCCAAGATAAGCAGAAAAAAGGTCGCGTGATTCATGGTGCTGTGCGCTAATTTGTTGCTTAAACACTTTGCAAATTACAATGAATGGTCTTTTTTCCAAATGTCGTCACTGACATCGAAATATAGATTTATATTTATGGGCAAAGACGAAAATACTAAAACAAGATTTGAGCTACAAAGTCTGGCAAAAGACGATGCGTGGCAAAAAGGTTAATTAGTAAATAAGGAAATATATGCAATTAAGGTTGCTGCTCTTGAAGCCAAATATGTTAATTAAAAATTGTACAAACAAAAGTTCTTCGAAAAACGAAACAAATTTAAGGCTTGTGTGATAATTTCGTGGAAGTCAAGTCTTAATTTTACATTTCATTACAGAAAACCCAGAAATTATATATAGATACATGAATAAAACTTTTCTCACCTCCTCTTCACAATAAAAGTGAATATATCTATAACCGGTATCCAGTTTTCCGTCTCTACAGCAACTAATGTAAACAACATTGCCTAAGGTCGGTTTAAATGTAAAATTTTAGCAATAAAATATCGCGTCAAAATGGCAGGAATTTCTCTAATGTTTTTTGTGACGTCTTGACGACGACATTTCCTGAAAACTTGCCATCAAATCAGCCACCATACTCTTAGCCCCAATATGTTCCTAAATGACGAGACAGTTTAAATAAAATGAGTCAACGTCAAGTGAAATTCTAACAATTGTCCTGGTTACATTAAACGAAAACTATTGTGACTGATTTGTGCCATTCGAGTTTTCGCTCCGCGACCACACCTCGAAGAGTCGAAAATTAATAAGTTAAAATGGCGGGGTGCGGAGCGAAAACACGCTAATTAGCGGAACGCCGGGCGAAGTTAAATAAATCAAACTTAGCCCCGCGGGGGCACGGAGCGAGATTCAAGAAGAACCACAATGGAAACAAGGATTTATCTTAACTCTTTTTTTGTGTTTTCCTTCACATATAATGTTTATTGACATGGCTATATTTTTTACATACATGTCTTGTTATTTGTTTTAATGTATGTTTTATAATTTGTTTGCCATGTGAATTGTAGCATTTTATGTGAAATAAATTCTATCTATCTATCTATCTATCTATAAGAAATAAAACGGCGGGGTCGAGGGACGAAAACACACTAATTAGCGGGGGCACGGGGAGAAGTTTTCTGTTCCTTATATAAAATACTTAACTTGTTTAACAAATCACGGCTAAATATGATTTCACTTATACAAATAATATTCATTCATTTCAAATAAACTGCCGTTTAGTCGGGTCATTTTGACAAAAACCCAGCGGTCATGTCTCTGTCGAGTTACACTTGCGGTGACTTCGAGATTACATATCTTCTTATAACTTGAAATGATTGTAATGACAGCTTTATTTTCTTTAAGAGTAATAAATTCCCTACAATTTGGTACCAAGATATTGAAAATTGGTGAAAAATTGCGGAGTTATGGAGTTCAAATTAAGATGAGTGCTGAAAAATGAGCGGCGAGTTGCATACCTTTACTAAATATATATGTATCAATTTTTTATTTTTTGTAGGAAATGACGGTAATTGAATTAAAAGCATATACCAAATATTAAAACATGTTTCAAATGGACAATACTGCAGGTTACATAGTTTTGAGAGGTAGGAGGGTTGTAGAGTAGGTGAGGGGGCCCGGTGGTAGTGACCAATCAACGCGACGAACACCTATGATCACTAGATCCATTTTATGTGTTAAATTTGCCACATTTTCAGTCTATTTATTGCCATAGCACATAGGAAGAAAAGAAAGAAAAAGACGAGCATAATCTCAATACTGCCATTTTTCCATATATCAAGTTTCATAAAAATATTTTCAGTACTTCTTGCGTTATCGCGGGATCCAGTTTTGTGAACGAACGGACTGACAGACAGACAGACGGACGGAGGGTAAACCTAAAGTCCCCCTCCGGTTAAACCGGTATGGGACTAATAACTAGTCATATTGCTAATTCATAACACCTATTCCTTCAAGTAAATTTATCATGCAATGGAATCTGTTTAACGGATTGCTTACAAATGGCATACACTTTTTTTTTAAAAAAAGACTGACTGAATAATTTAATGTTATACTTTCAATAAGCCTTGGTCATTTATATGTACTTCTCTAAAACCATTAACATTCTTTTGTTTAATTATTTAAAGAGTATTACCGGACAATTTCTCCTTTTATTCTAAAGTTATAGTAACCAGACGATGAATATGTCTTTATAGTATTTATAGACCCGGGTGACGATTTGAAAACGAGAAAGCGTACCGATCGAGGTTTTTAAAAGACAACCCGGGTCTGTAAATACTATATTATGTACTTTTTCTTTTGTTTTTCTACCAAACATCAGTTTTTAACTTGGCATTAATGAATATTAATCACAAGTAACCTATATTTTATGAAGTTCATTATGTTTGACCAAGAGCAAAAAGAACGAAAGTCCTCAAAGATAAAAACGACTATGCTCTTTCAAGATGTTAGAGTATCCAATAAGGTGTTACATGTATCTGAAAATTCAAGAGTTTTTTTCGTAGGTACTTTTTGTGTAAATTTCAACTAATTATACAATAAGATATATTTTTATTTATATAAACGTTTATATGCAGGCCAAATTAGTAAAACTTCTTAAATTTTATGGCAAAACAAACCATTCTGTGTGGCGCAAAAGAACGGCTATAGCATGAAAGGGAAATGTGCCATAAACAAAGGTTACACAACACTTATTCCTAATGGTTCCGGGTCCTTAACAGCCGTTGAAATATGTTTTCCCATCGTAGACATGTGGGTTTACTTTCTTTGGAGAACACCATCATGTTTCCCGGTGTGTTTTGGCTTCAATGTTTTTATAATGATACATGCGATTGGCCATTTAGACAGTCGGAGGAGGATACATTTCTGTGAATTTTAGTAGGTAATGATGTACAAGTACTAGGAAAAATACTTTATCTGTAATCGCGTTGGCTGGAATTCACGCGACACCCTTATTGCGACTCATGGTGCGTGAAAGAATGACAAAAGTACACACAAAGCAGATCCAGTAGCTCTTTTCTTTTGAACAATAGAAAACCAACATCGAATATTTCTTTTAACTTCTGTAAACATTTTTGCATTAATCACATATAAATACTAATCCAATCCACGAAATATATCAATGTGTCTGTAAATGCTTACTGTATAAGTTTATTTTGTACAAATTGAAATAAATATTGTTTAAATTAATACTAGACAATGGAGAACAACGAGGAATTGTAATTATATAGTTTATATACTTATAGATAAACATAAGTTGTTAACACATAAAATCATTCAAGAAATCAACAAACTGTTTAGTTTATTCATATTTTATTGCTAATATTTACATGTAAATATACAGAGAAACAAATTGATTTTGAAATAACAAATAGCAAAAGGGTTGGGCCCAAGTTCTTACAACATTAGCGACCGCCCCTCCCCCTGAAAAAATATATTAATCAACATTGATGGCATAAATATGACAAAGTGTGACATGTTTACATATAAAGCGAACAAAGAAAAAAAATAAAGACAGATTAACATAAAAAAATAAAACAATGTAAGAAATAAGTAAGACAGAAAAATGTATATTTATGTATTTATATAATAACGACAGGGTAAAGGATCCAGCATTTAGCATTATTCGTCATTGGGAGTAAACGTCCATCATAAATGTGATTGTCAATTATTTGTGGTACCAGGTTATTAGGATTAATACAATTTACAAAAATATCATGTGTTTCAAAAACGGTCAGTAGTTTTTATAAATTTTTGGACAGCCGCAAATATTTGTTCATTATTGTTATCATCTAAAGAATTGCTACCCCACAGTAATAGCTCAACATTAAGAGGATGACAAATTCTGGTTTCTGCGAAGAGTATAAGTCTCTGAGGTTTAAATAATGGACAGCAAAATAGATA